GCCTGTCCAGGCCGCAACTTCAAGTATTCCTAGTAAGTAGAGTCTTTCTTTAAAGCTGCTTAATAAAGTCAGATAATAAATGATGAATGTATTTGTAATGGCCACTTTTTTTTTTTTTTTTTTTTTGAGATGGAGTCTCTCTCTGTCGCCCAGGTTGGAGTGCAATGTTGTGATCTCGGCTCACCGCATCCTCTGCCTCCCAGGTTCAGGCAATTCTCCTTCCTCAGCCACCTGAGTAGCTGGGATTACAGGTGCCCACCACCATGCCTAGCTAATTTTTGTATTTTTAGGAGAGACGTGGTTTCACCATGTTGGCCAGGCTGGTCTCAAATGCCTGACCTCAAGTGATGCACCCACCTCGACCTCCTGAAGTACTGGGATTACAGGCATGAGCCACCATGCCTGGCCTGTAATGGCCATGTTAAGAACCTACTATGTGCCGGGCACTGTGCTAGGTCCTCGGGATACCAATACAAAGGGACAAGGTCCTAGTCCTTAAGAGGCTGACATTCCAGTTGAGGGATACCACAGGTATCAGATAAGCCAGCTCTATGACAAGTGAGTTATGGGGCAGGAGAATGGGAGTGGCCACCTCTACCTAAGAGGTGACCAAGAAAGGAAGGGACCTTATAAGAGCAACACATGCTTTTGTCTGATGTTGAGAATAGCATGAGCCAGAGGGAGCCATTGGTCAAGAATGGCAGACACTGGATGTGTGGAGCTGAGGCTGGAGGGCTCTGTGGCCATGCTGGGAAGTGTACGTCTTACACTGCAGGTAAAGGAAATAAATAGGCAAGTTTTCAGGTAATGTCAGTCAAATTATTTCCCAGTTTTCTCCCAGAGATTACAGAGGATTTTTATTTCATTTACTTAATATATTACATTGATTATGTTCATTTATACATTACGTATGTATTATGGACCAGTTGTTAATAACAAAATTTATACCTTTGCTATAAACTATGGATAGACTAGTTTATAGCAAAATGTCTAAAAGGTATATTAGGTATATTGCTCTTATAAGGTCACTTCTTTTCTTGGTCACCTGTTAGGCAGAGGTGGCTGCTCCCATTCTCTTGCCCCATAACTCACTTGTCATAGAGCCTGCTTATCTGATACATGTCGTATCCCTCAACTGGATACTGGTCAACCTCTTAAGGACTAGGACCTTGTCCCTTTGTACTGGTATCCCCAATAGTGGTTTCTAGCATGTTTTTGTTGTTTGTTTTTTTGAGACTAGGTCTTGCTGTGTTACCCAGGCTGGAGTGCAGTGGCACAATCACAACTGACTGCACCCTCAACCTCCTGGGCACAAGTGATCCTGACTCTCCCACTTCATTCTCCCAAGTAGCTGGAACCACAGATACACACCACCCTGCCCGGCTAAGTTTTGTCTTTTTTTGTAGAGATGGAGTTTCACCGTGTTGCCCAGGCTGGTCTCAAACTCCTGATCTAATGGCTTAAAGAGGACCAAAAAATTTTAATATTTGCTATTTCCCAAATATTTCTCAGTAGACAGGGGCATTGCCAGACTCTTGTTTTCCAGCAGTCTGCAGAGGTATTCAGAAATGATTCTGCCCATAGTCCTAGGCAAATCTCTTGTGGTGTTTGTGGGAAGCCAGAAAGATCCTTGCCTGGAGCCACAGATGGTGCTGACTCCAGTGCTTACTGCCTCAGGCCTTTGTTCAAGTGTCACGTTATCCATGATGTTGGCCTCTTTAAATAAAAACTGCAGCCCTGCCCATCCTGATCTTTCTTACTGTTTTTTCATTTTTCATACCACACACATATCCATACTGTTTACTAACTTGTATTTGTTTATTATGTTTACCCCTGCTAGACTCTTGAGTCTTAAAATTTAGTAGGACTCTCTGTGTGCTCTGTTCACTGGCGTATCTCAAGCACCTAGAACAGGGTTCCTCAACCCCTGGGCCGCAGACTAGTACTGGTCCGTGGCCTGTTAGGAACTGGGCCACACGGCAGAAGGTGAGCAGGCAGGCGAGCATTACCGCCTGAGCTCTGCCTCCTGTCAGGTCGGCAGCATTCGATTCTCACAGGAGCTGAACCCTATTGTGAACTGCGCATGCAGGGGATCTAGGTTGTGCGCTCCTTATGAGAATCTGATGCATCACCCCCACCCCTGGTCTGTGGAAACACTGTCTTCCATGAAACTGGTCCCTGGTGCCAGAAAGGTTGGGGACTGCTGACCTAGAACAATACCTTATGGAAGACCTAGACTCAGAGGGCGGTACCTAGGTAATCAGGAAGTATAGGAAGTTGATCGGTTCTTGGAAGCTGTGAGTTGAAGCAAAATGATGCACTGTATAACAAAGCCAGTTTTACCACAGTTGATACTGTCAAAAGAAAAACTTCGGCTGAATTCAATTTAAAAGAGCTTAATTGAGCAAGGAATGATTCACAAATTGCGCAGCCTGCTGAGCCAGAGTAGGCTCAGAGACTCCAGTGCAGTCATGTGGTGGAAGATAATTTATGGACAGGAAAAAGAAAGCGATGGACAGAAGAAGGAAAAGTGACATACAGAAAATGGAAGTGAGGTACAGAAACAGCTGGATTGGTTATAGCTCAGCATTTACCCTATTTGAACACGGTTCAAACAGTTGGCCACATCTGATTGGTCAAAAGTTGGGGACTGGCATGAGTGCAGGTTAGTCTGTCTACACCCCCACTTGTTATAGTCCACGATGTACAGAGAGACCTTTAGGCCGAATTTAAAATATGTAAGGAGGCAGCTTTAGGCTAAACATAACAACACAAACAAGAGTTAACTTCCTATGACATATACTTTAAGTCACAGTTTGCGAGAACCTACTGAGGACGTTAAGTGAGGACTTACAGTACCCCCTTAAGGTTTCTCCACCTCTTGTCATTGGCCATCCTCTGTCACTAAACAGAAAGGAGTTACTAAGTCAAGAATGAAGATCTCATTGCGTTTGCTAGAGCAAAGCTGCTCATCCCTGCTTGCATGTCTTTACTGTTGAGGGTGAAGGCCATAGTGCCCTGGAAGGTGAACTTCAGAGGTTGTTAAAGGGTCATGGAAATAAAGAGGAGGTGGGGTCTTGGATTGTGGTTGCAGAGCACTATAAACTGACCATAACCAGATGGTGTTCTTTTAAACAGGTATAAAAGTTTGGTCACTGGGACCCGAGCAAGAGGGGTCATTGCTGTCCTCTGGGTCCTTGCCTTTGGCATCGGATTGACTCCATTCCTGGGGTGGAACAGTAAAGACAGTGCCACCAACTGCACAGAACCCTGGGATGGAACCACAAATGAAAGCTGCTGCCTTGTGAAGTGTCTCTTTGAGAATGTGGTCCCCATGAGCTACATGGTGTATTTCAATTTCTTTGGGTGTGTTCTGCCGCCACTGCTTATAATGCTGGTGATCTACATCAAGATCTTCATGGTGGCCTGCAGGCAGCTTCAGCGCACTGAGCTGATGGACCACTCGAGGACTACCCTCCAGCGGGAGATCCATGCAGCCAAGTCACTGGCCATGATTGTGGGGATTTTTGCTCTGTGCTGGCTACCAGTGCATGCTGTTAACTGTGTCACTCTTTTCCAGCCAGCTCAGGGTAAAAATAAGCCCAAGTGGGCAATGAACATGGCCATTCTTCTGTCACATGCCAATTCAGTTGTCAATCCCATTGTCTATGCTTACCGGAACCGAGACTTCCGCTCTACTTTTCGCAAAATTATCTCCAGGTATCTTCTCTGCCAAACAGATGTCAAGAGTGGGAATGGTCAGGCTGGGGTACAGCCTGCTCTCGGTGTGGGCCTATGATGTAGGCTCTCACCTCTTCCACGAGAAGATACAAATCCACAGGAAACAAAGAGGACACGGCTGGCTTATTCTCATTGTGAAAGATAGCTACACCTCACGAGGACATGGACTGCCTTTCTTGAGCACTTCCCTGGAGCCACCACGTATGTAGCTAATACGTTTGTGTCACTAGTAGGCTCCAAGAGTTGACAAATATATTTATGATCTATTCAGCTGCTTTTACTGTGTGGATGATGCTGACAGCTTGAATGGATTCTAAGAGACACTTTTGTTTTTAAAAGTCTGCCTTGTTTATGGTGGAAAATTACTGAAACTATTTTACTGTGAAACACTGTGAACTATTATAATGCAAATATTTTTTAACTTAGAGGCAATGGAAAAATAAAAGTTGGCCGTACTAAAAATGTATACTTGTTCCTAGGAAGGTGATCTCAAAAATTAAAAGTATAATTATTCGGCTGGGCGCGGTGGCTCACACCTGTAATCCCAGCACTTTGGGAGGCCAAGGCGGGCGGATCATGAGGTTAGGAGTTCAAAACCAGCCTGTCCAATATGGTGCAACCCCATCTCTACTAAAAAATACAAAAATTAGCCAGGTATGGTGGCACGTGCCCGTAGTCCCAGCTACTTGGGAGGCTCAGGCAGGAGAATCACGTGAATCTGGGAGGTGGAGGCTGCAGTGAGCCCAGATTGCATCACTGCACTCCAGCCTGGGTAACAGAGTGAGACTCCGTCTCAAAAAAAAAAAAGTATAATTATTCAATCAAAAAACTGCTGTATTAATTTAGGGAAATGATATTCTCATAAGTCAAATTTTCATCACGTAATTTTAAGCTCCATTCCTTTCCATATACAGAAAACTACCCGTGGGGAAGAAACTGGTGAAATGGGATCCCTCCTCTACCAAATTCTGCCTTCTAAAGCTAGGTAGGGAATTTTGCTTCTCTCCAAAGTTGAAGTTTAAGTTCTTGGAACCCAAAGTGTGAAAATTTTACTAAGTAAAATAATTTAACTCTGTGTGTATACAAAAAAATTAGCCAGGCGTGGTGGTGGGCACCTGTAGTCCCAGCTACTCAGGAGGCTGAGGCAGGAGAATGGCTTAAACCTGGGAGGCAGAGCTTGCAGTGAGCTGAGATCATGCCACTGCACTCCAGCCTGGGCAGCAGAGTGAGACTCCGTCTCAAAATAAAAGGCTAAGTAATGTGGACACAACATGATATTAGGCTTTATTTGAATTTAAAATCTTGATTCCATCCAGGGACATTTTTTACCCAAGCACCTCAGAGACTGGCTTAGGGTTTTTCTTGAGAAGACTGTACAAGGCTTCTAATCATACGCAAACCCTCCACAGCCCACGGCTCCAACCCACAGCACCTCCTGCAGTCCTGGAGGGAAAAGGGATAGTAACATGAAGTGTCTGAAGATCTATTTCACCTCTTTTCCTTGTGAATCATGACATTTTAAATGCATTTCTTGACAGGATTCTATTTTGAAAGAAGGATGCTCAATCTGTACCTTTTATGCTTCTTGTTTCTTCTCCATTAATAATATGTCAGTCAACTGCTTGTCGGAGACACTTAGCTGCTGACAAGTCCTCATAACCTGACTAAGGTAAACTGCCAAGAGATGTTTGCACTGGAATATAAAACACACACACCTATTAGAAATAGGCAGGACCGAGGCTGGCCAGTCTAACCAAGATTTCTTATTACCATCTTATTTGGCAGGGAAAGACTAGAGCACACAGATTACAGGGTCTCTAACTGATTGTCTAAAAACTGTGGACAGGCCGGGCATGGTGGCTCATGCCTGTCATCCCAGCACTTTGGGAGGCCGAGGCATGCGGATCACTTGAGGTCAGGAGTTCAAGACCAGCTGGGCTGATGTGGCAAAACCCCATCTCCACTAAAAATACAAAAATTAGCTGGGCATGGTGGTGCACGCCTGTAATTCCAGATACTCAGGAGGCTGAGGCATGAGAATCGCTTGAACCCAGGAGGTAGAGGTTGCAGTGAGCTGAGATCATGCCACTGCACTACAGCCTGGGCGACAGAGCCAGACTCCATCTCAAAAAATAAATAAAAACTGCAGATAAAGATGATGAGACAGGTGTATTCTCTTTAGAAATCAGAGTGGACAAAGACAGACTTACTTTGCCTGCTGCTTTGGAAAACGGCTTAGATCCATCAGGCACAAGGTGGGATGTAACCCATGGTGAAAACCAAGACTAGCTGCGCCCCTCACTTTAGTCCTAAGTGATATTTCTTCCTTGCCTTCAGAAAGCTGTCACAGCAATGGTTAACATTCCTTGAGGCACTATGCTGTGAAGTGCTTCTCACAGATTACCTCACTGAAATCTGACAGCTCCCTAGGAAGACAGGTATTGTACCCAGATGCTCATCAGAGTCTCTAGGCTACTCTCTTAGCTACTGTGTTATACTTCTGGGGTTGGGGGGCGGGGAGTAGTGGCGAAACTCTCGCATATATTGGCCTGTACATGCTTCTGGGGAGATGATTATGTTGCAGCTGATGTCAGAGAACACAGCTTTATGTTGCAGCTGATGTCAGAGAACACAGCTTTAGATCCTGAAGGGGCCCTGGTTCAATCCTGTCTCTTGCAGTTGAGATAAACTTCCGGCACATCAGTTATGAATGTGGTCTCTTGTACAATGGTATACCCAACTTGCCAGCCAGGTCCCAAGATGTTTAAGAAGTTAACAGTGTAAAAGAAGGGAAGAATGGAGTGGACACCATTATTTGCTTCTTTGGCAAGACTTAAAAAATAGCTGCCTGCTTTCAGGAAGGTAGAGTTTTTCCCTTTGGAATAAGGTGTGTATGAGTATGTCCTGTTTCTGCTTCATGATCTGGACTCTGATGAAATTGGCAAAGGCTTAAAGGAATAGGTGAAGGTACTCATGCCCCATGTGAAGGTCAAGTGTGGTGTCAGGCTGTCTTACAGGTAGTGCAAAGATATACGACATGGCTGAAGGTAGGATATGCAAAGTTGCCAACATCGAATTTTAGTTCATATTTTTATGGGGCCATCTAATTCCCCTTTTTTTCCTTCTCAAAGCTTCACTCATGATCTTTTAAATAAAAATTCAGGAAACTGATGTAGTTCTAAAAATGACATTGCATTTTGAGAGGCTAAACCCCTAAGAGATGACTAACTGAAGTCAAGGACAAAAAGCTACCATTTGTTTCAACATGTAGTAAGATTCCCATTTTGTAGAATAGTTAAACCACAAAGTAAGGCCAATTTCTCTCTACATTCAACTACAGTGGGAAGAGCCTTCCCCGTCCTCACCAGGATGCTGTCACTCTTCCGTAGCACTGAGAAGGCAAATGCAGGACATGAACAGTAATGACAAGAAGCCAGACACGTGTATGTTTTACCAGAACTTCCAAGCACCTACAAAGAAAGGATAGATGGGATCAGACCTCAGATGATGTGCTGGAAAAACCACCTCTTTCCCTTTTTATCTATGTAGACTCAGAGCTGCTCTGCAAATTGCACTGAGAAGAACTGCAGTTATGTTTTACGTGAAAGAGGAAACAACTTCTCTTCCTCCAGCGTGCAGACTCTCCCTTCCTCACCTCAGTGCTTACCTTTAGGACTTCATATAAAGGAATTGAAGAGTTTCAGATTAGTTCAACCAACCACATAGACCATTCTCTTCCGACACCCAGTGGTTCATGGGGCCCACTCTATGGGCTGACTGTAAAAAGGAAGTGGAGGGGCAATCTCTCATCTACATTTCATTGTGGGGGTTCTTAACCTTTGGTATTTCATAGCAGGTATGTAAATTTCTAAAGCTTCCTACATACCTAAAGAGAGAGTAAAAACAGGCAAAGCATCAGTAGCAGGGCAGGAGTAAGACAGGTCTCAGGCCAGGTGTGGTGGCTCAAGCCTGTAATCCCAGCACTTTGGGAGGTTGAGGTGGGAGGATCACTTGAGCCCCAGAGTTCAAGACCAGCCTGGGCAACATGGTGAGACCTCGTCTCTATTAAAAAAATTTTTTTTAAAAGTCAGGTGTGGTGGCACATGCCAGTAGTCCCAGCTACTTGGGAGGCTGAGAGGGGAGGAATGCTTGAGCCTGGGAGGTCAAGGCTGCAGTGAGCGGTGATTGCACCACTGCACTGCAGCCTGGGTGACAAAGACCCCGTCTTTAAAATAAAGATAGGTCATAGAAGAAAAGAAGAAACTGGGAAGAGGCTTTTGAAAAGCATTTGGGAACAGGAGAGCAGAGAGAATAAATAAAGCAAAGACCCTTGTGAAAGGAATGACTCAGCTGCTAAGGATGGAGGTCTCAGGAAAAGAGGCAGGCCCAGATCTGCCTACTCATCTAGCAGGATGGAAGGAGGACCCTGATACATAGTGGGCTGGGAAGAGGCACAGTCTAACAGTCTTGGTGGTGGTCAAGAGGGACAAAAAGGAAAGGTACAGGAAAAACAAGATACATCTGTAGTATGATTGCACAAATTTGTTGGAGAAATCCTTTGTTTAAGTCTCTCTACCACCAGCCAGTCAAAAACTTTTTGTTGAGGTCTTCATTCCTAGAGTTAACTTCCCAGTTGGAGGCGGAAGATTCTTATTAGTATCTGAGGGAAGCAGAAATGTCCTGAGGGTGATTTTATAATGAATTGCCACTTAGGAATTTGCCACACAGCCTTCAAAGCACTTTTAGGCTCTCAGATGGCAATCTAAATGAAAAAGCAAGAACTTTAACATTTTTTTTGAATTACAATGTTAGCACTCCTAGGATTCTTTAACCTTTCTTACCCGCAGAGAATGAAGCTACAGGTGTGGTCTGACTGCAAGAACAAACAGCAGGTTCCAGTGCTGCGCTTTTGTCGCATTTTCAGCGGTTCATATAATGCAGTTATCCCACTACAGCTTTTATTAACATTTTTTTTTAATTTTTATTTTTTGGAGACAGGGTCTTGTTCTGTCATCCAGGCTGGAGTGTAGTGGCGTGATCATAGCTCATGGCAATCTTCAATTCCTCGGCTAAAGTGATCTTCCCACCTCAGTGTCCTGAGTAGGCAGGAGTACTGGTGTGCACCACCACCACACTATGCTAATTTTAAACATTTTTTGTAGAGATGGGGTCTTGCCATGTTGTCCAGGCTGGACTTGAACTGCTGGGCTTAAGTGATCCTCCCACCTTGGCCTCCCAAAGCACTGGGATTACAGGCTTGAGCTACCACAGCCAGCCTCAGTATGGTTTTTTGACAGTCAGAATTCCTTGGGAGTTTTTAGGTTACCAGAAATGGCCAATGATTGGTTAAGAAGATACCTACTGAACACATTCAAGATTTCAGTTCAGGCCAGGCACAGTGGCTTACCTCTGTAATTTCAGCACTTTGGGAGGCCGAGGTGGGAGGATCATGAGCTCAGGAGTTCAAGACCAGCCTGGTCAATATGGTGAAATCCCATCTCTACTAAAAATATGAAAACTGGCTGGGCGTGGTGGCGAGTGCCTGTAATTCCAGCTACTCAGGAGGCTGAGGCAGGGGAATCGCTTGAACCCAGGAGGCGGAGGCTGCAGTGGGCCAAGATTGCATCACTGTACTCCAGCCTGGGCGACAGGGCAAGACTCTGTCTCAAAAAAAAAAAAATTTCCGCCCAGTTACAAATTAGGTGTTGAAAAAGCACACCTTGCATATTACCTACCGCAAGGCTCTGACGTGTTATTAACATATCACCTAGACCATTCAGTATCAATGGAGAGACTTCCCCGCATGTGTGGAAGCTTACACTGAAGGAAGAGCATTAAAGCAAATAGTTTTTCACTTAATCCTAGAGAAAAAACCCACAACATCCAGCAGTGACATGTATAATTCTCTTTTTTTGTTTTTTTCTTTTGAGACAGAGTCTCACTTTGTTGCCCAGGCTGGAGTGCAATGATGCAATCTTGGCTCACTGCAACCTCCACCTCCTGGGTTCAAGCCATTCTCCTGCCTCAGCCGCCTGATTAGCTGGGATTACAGGCATGTGCCACCATGCACGGCTAACTTTTGTATTTTTAGTAGAGACAAGGTTTTGCCAGGTTGGCCAGGGTGGTCTTGAACTCCTGACCTCAGGTGATCCACCCGCCTCAGCCTCCCAAACTGCTAGGATTCCAAGCATGAGCCACCACTCCCAGCCTATAATTCTTGGGTGTCTAAACTATAACCAATGAATAAAACTTTAGGTTTCTTTTCCCTTTAGTCATCTCTTCTCTGTAGATTTAAACTTAAGCAAGCAGAAGCCTCTGGGATTCTATACTGACTAGAATAATTCACTGCTTTTTTTTTTTTTTTTTTTTTTTTTTGAGACGGAGTCTTGCTCTGTCGCCCAGGCTGGAGTGCAGTGGGGCAATCTCGGCTCACTGCAACCTCCGCCTCCCAGGTTCACGCCATTCCCCTGCCTCAGCCTCCCAAGTAGCTGGGACTACAGGGGCCCGCCACCACGGCCGGCTAATTTTTTTGTATTTTTAGTAGAGATGGGGTTTCACTGTGTTAGCCAGGATGGTCTTGATCTCCTGACCTCGTGATCTGCCCGCCTCGGCCTCCCAAAGCGCTGGGATTACAGGCATTGAGTCCACTGCTTCCTTCTTATTACGAGTCCCCCATCCATCATAATGCTTCCTGGATCATGCTGAATAAATGCCCGGTGACTTGAGATGGGGTGAAATTCTACAGAGGTTTCCTTGCCTGAACCTTTCAAGGGCTAAGACTCAAAGTAAAATGTTCAACTGCCGGCCGGGCGCGGTGGCTCACGCCTGTAATCCCAGCACTTTGGGAGGCCGAGACGGGCGGCGGATCACGAGGTCAGGAGATAGAGACCATCCTGGCTAACACGGTGAAACCCCGTCTCTACTAAAATACAAAAAAAATTAGCTGGGCGAGGTGGCGGGCGCCTGTAGTCCCAGCTACTCGGGAGGCTGAGGCAGGAGAATGGCGTGAACCCGGGAGGCGGAGCTTGCAGTGAACTGAGATTGCGCCACTACACTCCAGCCTGGGCGACAGAGCGAGACTCCATCTCAAAAAAAAAAAAAAAAAAATGTTCAACTGCCTAATGCAATAAACACTGAAAGAGGTTAAATTTTGAATTTGCTTTTCGCTTATCTAGCAGTAGACAACTAATGAACCCAATAATCAGGCAAAATCTGAGTTAGAAACATTTAGAACTGGAAATTGACCTTAAGGATAACATAATTCAATTCCTTCACCCTTCAGTGAAAAAACAACTTCCTCTTACAGGAATTGCTCCTAGTTTTCCTGCTTATAGTCTGGAATGTTTATCCCCAGAAGGAGAGAGCTTTTTAAAAAAGGAACATGCTGTAAAGAGGATACTCAGACCATGGATGACTGCACTTGTAGGAACCTCACTTGGAGGTGGTTTCTACTATGGTTCTACTGTGGTTTCAGTTAGGTCACCAGGAGAGGTGACCCACGTACGAGGTCATCCATTCATGGGTACAGTTTTATTTTATGACTGCTCCAAGCCTCTTAGGACACTCCACAGTGTGTCTGTTGTTCCTTGTGTTGGGTGCTTCTCTCTGAAAACAGGATTATACATTCCTGTCCTGTTGAATACAGGCTGGCCATGTGACCTGCTTTACTAAAATCTGAGTAGCCAAGCAGAAAAATGTTAAAAATTGTGTACCATGTTTTCCTTTTTCTCTTTGAGATTCACAGTGTTCCAGATATGGGCTGCTTCACTCACTGGGATCCCTGCATGAAGCTGTTTTGGAATAGAACTACAACTGACTCCTGGTGGATACACAGCATGAATGAGATCTGAAACTTTGTTTTTGTAAGCCTTTCAGATTTGGGGTCATTGTTACCACAGCATAATTTAGCCTCTCCTGATTGAATTATCCCCCTTCTTAAGTGAACCAAAAAAGTATAACAAGTGGCCAGGCGCGGAGGCTCAGGCCTGTAATCCCAACACTTTGGAAAGCACAGGTGGTGGATCACCTGAGGTCAGGAGTTCCAGACCAGCCTGGCCAACATGGTGAAACTCCGTCTCTACTAAAAATACAAAAATCAGCCAGGCGTGGTAGTGCACACCTGTAATCCCAGCTACTCAGGAGGCTGAGGCAGGAGAATCGCTTGAACCCAGGAGGCAGAGGTTGCGGTGAGCCAAGCATGCCATTGCATTCCAGCCTGGGCAACAGAGCGAGACTCTGCCTCAAAAAAAAAAAAAAAAGTATAGAAAACAACTCAGGTGTCAGCAACATAACAATGACTTTAGAATTTTTTCATATTACATCTGGAGAACAATGATATTAGAGTTGACCTATGGGATGAAGATTGACCTATGAAAAGATAACTAGCTGGGCATTGAGGCAGTATGTGACTCAACTTTTATCATCTCATAGAACTCCTGAATTCAGCCAAATTCTTACTATATTACCATACAATGCAACCATTAAGGTTAATTTGAGGGTGTATAAGATTTCTGCAGCTTCATTTAATTCAAAGTCCAAGATGACAGTAACAATTCTTGGAAGTTAGTATTTTATAATTAATAAAGCAATATAATATATACCAGATGTGAACGACAAAAACTAAACAGATAACTTAAACAAGTTACTGTTGACCAATGGGAAGAACAAAAAGTCAACAGTAATTAAAATATTTCAAACAAAAGTCTGCTTGCCTAGGTCAAGTGTTGTGCCCATAATGGAATCAAGACCAAATATCCCAAACTAAAGCAAAGTGAAAAACCTGAAGGTCCCTCTAATTTCGGGTATTTTAGCTACCTAAAAACCAAAAATAAAAACACCAGGAAAGAGGACAGACACACCTCCTCAGGTACAAACTGCAAGTTCAGTGACTTCGATTATTAATCTCTAAGTTCTCCATGAGAAAATTCATCTAAATAGGCAGTCTCTTTTGAGTAGGCCAATACCATCCAAAATTTTCTTTTTTTTTTTTTTTTGAGATGGAGTTCTGCTCTTGTCATGTCACCCAGGCTGGAGTGCAATGGTAAGATCTTGGCTCACTGCAACCTCCTTCTCCCGAGTTCAAATGATTCTCCTGCCTCAACCTCCTGAGTAGCGGGAATTACAGGCGCCCGCCACCACACCCAGTTAATTTTTGTATTTTAAGTAGACATGGGGTTTCACTATGTTGGCAAGCTGGTCTTGAACTCCTGACCTCAGGTGATCCACCTGCCTCGGCCTCCCAAAGTGCTGGGATTACAGGTGTGAGCCACCACGCCTGTCCATCCAAAAGTTTTAAACGCAGCAACCAACACTAATTACCATATTTTCCTTAATGCAGAAATGCATGAAGATTTTACCAGATCAGTGTGAGGAAGGGCAAGTTAATTCACTCAGCAAAGGCATCTATCTGCCCAACCAGGCTTTGCTCGAGCCATTCACTCCCTAAGACCACTCACACGATCTTTCAATGAGAGTTAACCAATATGGTCTCAGCTCTGAGAAGATAACTGTAAATAAACCAGAATTCAAACTCTGAAAAATTTACCCTTTTCTGGTCTCAGTAAGGCCTGGATTACATACAAGAGCTGATGGCTTTTAGACAGACACAAGACACATGGCTTCCAAGACAGACACAAAATTTTGGACACCACTGCCAATATTTTCATTTCATTCATGATTTCCTTCCTTCAATCCCAGCTGCACTTACCACTGTGTCTCATATAGCTAATCTGGGGTTGGGTGGTACAGGGAGAAGGGTCAGGTGGTTGGAGTCTGGCTCCCTGTTTATATAGTCTTTATTCATGTCTCATAAGACAGGCAGTGTGGGGTGGCCAGATGTGACTGTTACTTTACTTTTCTGCATTTCCGTTTCCTGCAAAAGAAATAAACTTGCTGGGTTTTTGCAGAGATGGGTCTTACTATGTTGCCCGGGTCAATAGAGGGCTGAGATTACAGGCGTGAGCCACCATGCCAGGTGAGCAGACTTCTACACAATGCTATTAGGTACAGTTAGTAGGTATTTATCTTATTATTTTTTTGAGACAGAGTTTCACTCTTGTTTTGCAAGCTGGAGTACAGTGGCACGATCTTGGCTCACTGCAACCTCTGCCTCCCAGGTTCAAGCCATTCTCCTGCCTCAGCCTCCCGAGTAGCTGGGATTGCAGGTGTGTGCCACCACACTCGGCTAATTTTTTGTATTTTTAGTAGAAAGGAGGTTTCACCATGTTAGCCAGGATGGTCTTGAACTCCTGACCTCAGGTGATCCGCTTGCCTTGGCCTTCCAAAGTGCTGGGATTACAGGCGTGAGCCACCATACCCAGCCATCTTATTTTAGTTACAAAAATGTCTGGAGGATTTTGTTAAGTGAAACTATGCTAAGTGAAATAAGCCAGGTATAGAATGATAAATACCACATGATCTCACTTATATGTGGAATCTAAAAAAAGCTGAACTCATAGGCTAGGTGCAGTGGCTCATGCCTGTGATCACAGCATTTTGGGAGGCAGAGAGGGGAGGACTGCTTGAGGCCAGGAGTTCAAGACCAGCTTGGGCAATATAGCAAGACCCTGTCTTTATTTAAAACAACAACAAAAAAGTTGAACTCATAGAAGAAGAAATAGTGGTTACCAGGGGCTTTGGGGTGGGGGAGGAAGAGGAAGATACTAGTCAAAGGGTATAAAATTTCAGTTAGGAGACATAAGTTCAGGGTATCTATGGTACAACATGGTGAATATATTTAATAACAAAGTATTGGCGGGGATGGTGCTCATGTCTGTAATCCCAATACTTTGAAAGGCCAAGGTGGGAGGATCGCTTGAGCCTAGGAGTTTGAGACCAGCCTGGGCAACAGAGTGAGACCCTGTCTCTATAAAAACAAAGAAATAAAAGACTGAAGTACTGTAAATTTGAAGATTGCTAAGATAGTGGATTTTAAGTGATCTCACCACAAAAAAATAAGCATGTAAGGTATTAGATACGTTATTTAGCTTGATTCAGTTAGTTATTCTACAAGGTATCCATATATCAAAACATCATGCTACATGCCATGAATATAGACAATTTCTGTCAGTTAAAAGTAAATAAAAATTTTTAAAAATTATCAATTTGTTAATTTTACCAAGTTCGGGCAAAAGCTTTTTAACAGTCCAGGAAATATTTAAAGCTAGTCACCAGCTTCTACAGAGATGAAGAAAACATTTTGTCCTAAGGGGTTTCTGTAGGGATCACCCCCATCTGTGGACTTCTACCTGGTAAACATGTCTTCCACTGGGTGATGAGATTAAGGTGATGGACTGTCGATCAACTAGGTCCAAGGCCTGGGTGGCTGATGAGCCAAAGAGAAACTTCAGCCTGTGAAATAAAAACGCTTCAGATTAGAAGGCCTGATTCTCAAAGTCACCTCAGTAACTTGACCCAAAGGATCATTAGCCTTAGCATTTTTAAAAAATTCATTTTAATTTCGAAAAAAGGAAAATAATACAGCAAAACCCATGGACCCATTCACTCCCCAGAATTAATGTTAATATCTTCTGTACTTACTTCAGATCTTCTTGTATTTTATATATATGTGTGTATATATTTTATATATATATTTATTTTATATATATGTGTGTGTGTATATATATATATATGTTTTTTTTGTTTTGAGATGGAGTTTCACTCTTGCTGCCCAGGCTGGAGTGCAAATGGTGCAATCTCAGCTCACCGCAACCTCCGCCTCCCGGGTTCAAGCGATTCTCCTGCCTTAGCCTCCCAAGTAGCTGGGATTGCAGGCATGTGCCACCACGCCTGGCTAATTTTGTATTTTTAGTAGAGACGGGGTTTCTCCATGTTGGTCAGGCTGCTCTCAAACTCCAGACCTCAGGTGATCTGCCCACCTCGGCCTCCCAAAGTGCTGGGATTACAGGTATGAGCCACAGTGCCCAGCCTGTATTATATTTTTAATACAGGGAGTACACTGTTAGTGATAAAGAAGCCCTCTTTATACTTCTTTGTAGTGCTTCCTGTACTTCCTCTTACCTTCCCCTTATCCCCGAGGCAAGCACATGCATTTGTTTGTTTCCTTCCTGTTAATGTGTTCATATTAAATATTATATGTAGAACATATGTATGCACACATACATGATAAACACATGTGCATACATGTATGCATATACATATATGATATTGTTTTAAAACATAAAAGATATATCGTAGGCTTCTTTTTGCTGTTCCTGAAATAGCTCATGAAAAATAAAATATAAAATATCATAGAATTCTTTTGGCAACTTGCATTTCTCTACTCAATGCATTTTTGAAAATGAGGCATGTTTGACAAACATCTGTTTTTACTTTACCTTTGAATAATATTCCATTATATGTACACACTGAATTTTATTTAAGTACCCTATGTATGGACATTCTGTGTCCATTTTATACTATTATAAATAATACTCGATTATCCCCATACGTATCCCTTGGCATACATCTCTGAAAATCCTCCTTTAGTTTATGTAACTAAATGATATGTTCATTTTTCAACTTTAATAGCTCTCCAAAGTGGAAACGGGGCCAGGTGTGGTGGCTCATGCCTGTAATCCCAGCATTTTGGAAGGCTGAGGCAAGAGGATCGCTTGAGTCCAGGAGTTCAAGACCAGCGTGAGCATGTAGCGACACCCCATCTCTAAAGAAAAAGAAAAAAAACCTAAAACACATAAAAAAGTGAAAACAGCACTCCCACCAGCGCTGCCTAAGACTTCTATTTTCTCAGGCCGTGCGCGGTGGCTCATGCCTGTAATCCTAGCACTTTGGGAGGCTGAGGCAGACAGATCACCAGAGGTCAGGAGATCGAGACCATCCTGGCTAACATGGTGAAACCCCGTCTCTACTAAAAATATAAAAAATTAGCCGGGCGTGGTGGCACACGCCTGTAGTCCCAGCTACTCAGGAGGCTGAGGCAGGAGAATCACTTGAACCCGGGAGGCGGAGGTTGCAGTGAGCCGAGATCACGCCATTGCACTCCAGCCCAGGTGACAGAGCAAGACTCCATCTCAAAAAACAAACAAACAAAAAAACCAGACAGAAAAACCAGACTTCTGTTTTCTCCATGTCCCCACTAACACCAGTATTATCAGGCTTTTTTATGTTTGTCCATCTGAAGATATTAAATGTGTACTTTTTGGATTAGTAATAAGGCTCTCCAACTGTTAAATGATATACAGGAAAAAATTTTTATATGTGAGAAAATTCTTATAATGTTAAGTGAGAAAGATTGGAAACAAAATTATATTTTAGGAACTCTCAAGCATGTTAACTTTCTTAAAGGAAAGCTACAATTATGTCAAAATTAAAAGTTTAATTTTTTTTTTTTTCCTTGAGATGGAGTCTCACTCTGTTGTCCGGGCTGGAGAGCAGTGGCACAATCTCGTCTCACTGCAACTTCCGCCTCCTGGGTTCAAGAGATTCTCCTGCCCCAGCCTCCCGAATAGCTGGGATTATAGGTGCAGGTCACCATGCCCAGGTAATTTTTGTATTTATTTTTTAGTAGAGATGGGCTTTTGCCATGTCTCAAACTTCTGATGCCTCGGCCTCCCAAAGTACTGGGGTTACAGGCGTGAGCCACCGTGTCCGGACTTTTTTGTTTTGTTTTGTTTTTTGAGACAAGGTCGTCATCCAGGCAGACTGGATTCCAGTGGTGCAATCATGGCTCACTGCAGCCTGAACCCCCTGTGCTCAAGTGATCCTCCCACCACCTCAGCCTCCCTAGCGGCCGGGACTACAGGTATACACCACCACACCCAGCTAATTTTTCTATTTTGTAGAGACAGGGTCTCTCCGTGCTGCCTAAGCTGATCTCAAACTCCTGGCCCCAAGTGATCCTCAAGCTTTAGCCTGCCAAAGTACTGTTATTACAGGCGTGATGCACCATGCCTGGCCAAAATTTAATTTTTGGAAAAGGCAGTAAACCAAAATTTAAGTTTATAAAAGGCAGTAAAACCAAAATTTAAGTTTATCTAGTTTATAAAAATAACCCACACTTAGGCCAGGTGCAGTAGTTCATGCCTGTAATCCCAGCACTTTGGGTGGCCAAGGAGGATCACAAGGTCAGGAGTTCAAGATCAGCCTGGCCAATATGGTGAAACCCTAACTCTACTAAAAATACAAAAATTTTAAAACATACATATTCTGGGTCAAAGAATATGTATGTTTCAAATTTTCTGTTTAAAAATAAAAACATTTAAGAGTGATTATTACTGGGTGGTATGATTATTGATGCTTTTTATAGGTTTTATTTTCCAATAAAAATTTTTTATAAGTGTGGGTTATTATTATTATTATTGTTTTTGAGTTGGAGTCTCACTCTGTTGCCCAGCCTAGAGTGCAGTGGCACGATCTTGGCTCACTGCAACCTCCACCTCCCAGGTTCAAGCGATTCTCCTGCCTCAGCCTCCCGAGGAGCTGGGACTACAGGCGCCTGCCACCACGTCCGGCTACTTTTTTGTATTTTCAGTAGAGAGGTGTTTCAATCTGTTGGCCAGGATGGTCTTGATCTTTTGACTTTGTGATCCACCTGCCTCAGCCTCCCAAAGTGCTGGGATTACAGGCGTGAGCCACTGTGCCCGGCCAAGAATATTTTTAAAAATCAAGAGTTGATGTTGAAAGGATTTTAACATTAATGGTTAAAAAAATAATCAAACACAACAGTATATGTACTTACGATAACAGATATTCATCAGGAACTGTAAAATGAGAATGGAAAAAACGTTAATCATATTAAGCCAGTGACCATTGACATAAAAATCTTAAAAAAAAAACCTGTAACTACAAACACTTCTGTGTGTGATGGTCAACTGAACCTATGCATCTGATTTTACTCCTTCTCCAAACCCCACTAAAACCATAATAAAAGGATTTCTTTTTTCTTCTTTTGAGATGGACCCTTGTTCTGTCGCCCAGGCTGGAGTGCAATGGTGCAATCTTGGTTCACTGCAACCTCTGCCTCCTGGGTTTAAGCCATTCTCCTGCCTCAGCCTGGGACTACAGGCATGCACTACCACGCCCAGCTAATTTTTTTGGTATTTTTAGTAGATATGGGATTTCACCATGCTGGCCACGCTGGTCTCAAATACCTGACCTCAAGTGATCCACCTGCCTTGGCCTCCCAAAGTGCTGAGATTACAGACGTGAGCCACCGCGCTCGGCCAGATTTCTTTTTAAAAGTATGAATTCCAAAGGATGAGAAGGACAGGGAGAAACAACAGCTATGATACACTGGAAGCTGATAGAAGAGTGGAAAATGATTTATAAGACCTAAGAAAACTGAATCCTAGGCTAGCAATGGGGAGAGTCAAGCACCAGCCTGAGTTACACTGCAAAATCCACCTCTCCCCTTCCCCAAACCCTAACAAATTGGCACCAAATAGCTTCACTGGGGATGAAGCAGGGATATGAAAATAAGACTCAAGTACGTTTGAGAAGTAGTGGCACCCCACTTCCCTCCACAGCTTTAGGTGACTGCCTTTCCCTCATTCTGGCAAAAGACTAGGTTTATCTTCTGGAGAGGTTCAAACATAGGCTATCTGTACTAGGGAAAAATACTAGGTACAGTGAAAGTCAAGGTGTCACACTGAAAACAGGATCTCCTGCTCTCTTCCCTAACATGGCTCCCATAACACGAGCAATCAGGCCTTCGCCCTCCAGCCAGGAGACTGGAAGTCTTCCCTGGGTATATCCCAAGAGAAGTGGGAATGACACTGAAATGGTTTCTCCAACTAAACTGTCTAGTGAGAACAACTATAATGATGTTCATATTCCATATGCCCCTCTACCACCCAGAGCTTCCAAGAAGCTTTTTAGTCTTCCACTCTGAAATATGACTAGACAGCCAAGGGTTACCAGACAACAAAGGAAAAACGAAACAGAATAAAACAAACAGAAGAAAGTTAGAGGAAAAACTGCAGAAAGGAGAAAATTTTAAACATCTATTATTAATATTTTATCATTAGAAAAAAGTTAATGCAATCAGAAAATAGGCACAAAACATTAAGAAAAATTAATAAGAAGAAAAAATAAATTTTCTGAAAAGAAGTTATAAATTAAAAATACATGGTACGTCCCTGTACTTTCAGCTACTTGGGAAGCTGAGGCAGTAAGACTGCTTGAAACCAAGAGTCTGAGGCCAGCCTAGGCAATACAGTAAGACCCTGTCTCTCTCTTTTTTTTTTTTTTGAGATGGAGTTTTGCTCTTGTTGCCCAGGCTGGAGTGCGACGACACAATCTTGGCTCACCGCAACCTCCACCTCCTAGGTTCAAGCGACTCTCCTGCCTCAGCCTACAGAGTAGCTGGGATTATAGGCATGCACCACCACGCCCGGCTAATTTTGTATTTTTAGTAGAGATAGGGTTTCATCATGTTGGTCAGACTGGTCTCGAACTCCTGACCTCAGGTGATCTGCCGGCCTTGGCCTCCCAAAATGCTGGGATTACAGGCATAAGCCACTGTGCCCGGCAAGACCCCATCTCTTAAAAAAAAAAAAAAAAAGCAGAAATCCAACAGAAAATCTGGAAGATAAAGTTGAAGAAAGTTCCCAGGAAGTAGAGAATATATAAAAGAAACACAGAAGTCACAGTAAGTCAACCAGAAGGACAAGAGAGGACATCCAGTAACTTAATCACACAAATACTGGAAAGAACAGAGAAAACAGATGGAGGGAACTCATCAGTCAAATAATTCAAAATTCCCTACAGGTGAAGGACATAAAGTTCTAGCTTGAAAGGGCCCACTGTGTGCCCACACTGTGAAGTGAAAAAAACAAACTTTATCGGAAGATTCAGAACACTGGTTATAAAGAAAAGATAATTCAAACTTCCAGAGAAAATAAAAGTCACATACAAAAATCAGGAGTAACACTAGAAGCCAGGAGGTAGAATATTTTCAGATGTCTGAAGAAATATTTCCAACAAATAATTCAATACCTAGACAAACAATCACTTAAGTGTGAGAGTAGAAAAAGAACTTTTTCAGCTGGGCGCGATGGTTCACGCCTGTAATCCAGGACTTTGGGAGGCTGAGGTGGGCAGATCACCTAAGGTTGGGAGTTCAAGATCAGCCTGACCAACATTTAGTATCTCTACTAAAAATACAAAAACTATTAGCCGAGCATGGTGGCGCATGCCTGTAATCCCAGCTACTCGAGAGACTTAGGCAGGAGAATCCCTTGAACCCAGGAGGCGGAGGCTGTGGTGAGCCGAGATCGTGCCATTGCACTCCAGCCTAGGTGACAAGAGTGAAACTCCGTCTCAAAAAAAACAAAAAAAACCAAAAAAAACCCCGCAACTTTTTCAGACATAAAAAGCCTCAAAAAGGGGCCAGTGTGGGGGCTCACAACTATAATCCCAGCACTTTGGGAGGCCAAGGCAGAAGGATCGCTTGAGCCCAGGAGTTCCAGACTAGCCCGGGCAACAAAGGAAGACCCCATCTCTACAGAAAATAAAATGATCAGCTGGGCGTTAGGTGTGATTGCGCCACTGTACTCTAGGCTGGAGAACAGAGTGAGACCCGGTCTCAAAAAATAGAAAAGAAAGCCTCAAAAAGTACATCTCATGCCCCCTTCTTCAGGAAGCTGGCAGAGTATGTGTGCCATAAAATAAGGTAGTAAGCCTGGGCAACACAGTGAAACCCTGTCTCTACAAAAAATACAAAAATTAGCTGGGCATGGTGGTACACACCTGTGGTACCAGTTACTTAGGAGCCTGAGACAAGAGGAGCTCTTCAGCCGGGGAAGTTGAGGGAGCAGTGAGCTCTGATTGTGCCACTGCACTCCACCCTGAGTAACAGAGCAAGACCTTGTCTCAGAAAAAAAAAAAAATTTACATGGGCTGGGTGCGGTGGCCCATGCCTGTAATCCTGGCACTTTGGGAAACCAAGGCAGGTGGATCTCTTGAGCCCCAGAGTTCGAGTCTAGCCTAGGCAACATGGTGAGACCCTGTGTCTACAAAAAAATACAAAAAACTAGCCAGCCGTGGTATTGTGCACCTGCAGTCCCAGATACTCACTTGGGAGGCTGAGGTGGGAGGATCATGAGGCTAGAAGGTCTAAGGTACAGTGAGCTTTGATCATGCTATTGCACATCAGCCTGGGTGACAGTGAGACTGTCTCAAAAAAAAAAAAAAAAAAAAAAAAAAGGTAGTAAACCAAGAAAAAGAAAACTGTAGGATATACTAAACATAACACCCAACATAGATACAGAGAATTCCCAGATAATGGTGAAGAGAGATCTCAGGAAACAGCCAAGAGATTAGCCAGTCCATATTAAGCAAGTCAGAAGGCTCTAGAGATGTCTTCAGGAAGGTGAAACTGATAGCACACTTCATTCATCTGAACATCTTGAGGGGAGATTGGGAATACCAGTAAAGGATGTGAGGTTAAAGTAGGAATAAATATGTAAAAAACTGAACAAGTAAATAAACAAAACCAAGACAGTTATAACTCCAGGGAAATCCAAAAGTTACAAAGAAAACGAAAAGTAATCATAGCTTCCTTCATGGTTCCACTGTGACTAGTTTATATATCATCATACAAGTATAAATTTGGAATCTTGATCTAAAAAAATTACCACTGAAGAATGGGAGTTAGGAAGGGTGTATAACTATACATTAATAGAACAAAGAATTTTTTTTTTTTTTTTTGAGACAGAGTCTCGCTCTGCCGCCCAGGCTGGAGTTCAGTGGCCGGATCTCAGCTCACTGCAAGCTCCGCCTCCTGGGTTTACGCCACTCTCCTGCCTCAGCCTGAGTACCTGGGACTACAGGCACCCGCCACGTCGCCCAGCTAGTTTTTTCTAGTTTTTAGTAGAGACGGGGTTTCACCGTGTTAGCCAGGATGGTCTTGATCTCCTGACCTCGTGATCCGCCTGTCTGAACAAAGATTTTTAAAAACACAGAAAACAGGGCTGCTGAAAATAAACATGAATCAACAGCATTGGTCCCTGTGTCTGAACCATGGGTGTCAGGGGCAATGATTATGCCCCCTTCAGGACTGTCAATGTGTCTTGTGAACCTTCTTGTGGGAGGGAAAAAACCCAAAACTGGCTGGGCATGGTGGCTCACGCCTGTAATTCCAATTTTGGGAGGCTGAGGTGGGTGGATCACAAGGTCAGGAGTTCAAGACCAGCCTGGCCAATATGGTGAAATCCCGTCTCTACTAAAAATACACAAATTAGCTGGGTGTGGTGGCATGCACCTGTAGTCTCAGCTACTTGGGAGGCTGAGGCAGGAGAATCGCTTGAATTCGGGAAGTGGAGGTTGCGGTGAGCCAAAATGGTGCCATTGCACTTCAGCCTGGGAGACAGAGCAACACTCTGCCTTTAAAAAAAAAAAAAACCAAACTACTGGCAGTGTATGGATTAATCTATTCAGACACAGAACAGTTCTGGTGATGATTGTTTAAAGTGACAGTATTCCAAACCCTCAGGCCATCAAATCTTAGAGCCCAGAACAATTGTATAAGTTAACATCAGTTGGCTTTTTTCCCATCTTTTTGGAATCAAGTATGTTTGAATACCTGGCTGCACTAATCTTTCAAGCACATATATTTAAGTCTCCTTAATTTTGACTGAGATGAGAAAACCAAAGTTGGCTTATTTTTCTCAGTTCCTTAAAAACAGTAACTCAAGATAAACCCTTTCAAAAATGCAGTACAGTACTTTTAAAACAAAAGACATCCACATCGAATAAGCAGTGGCAGTTTTGGGGCCTAATATGGCTGTTATTTATAAGCTGGCCATTTTTACATCGTAAGAGTAGTTCATTAGTCAATGCATTTTGATTAGATCAAATTTGATTTGATCTTATCCTAGCATACTCTGAACACAGCTTGAGTTCAACCCTTCTCAAGTGATTTTGGCGAGCATAGCCAAAGAGCATCCTCTGCTGGTCAGAAAAAAAAATGGTGCTTTCACAATACCCAGATTTACTCCAATGATTGCATACGCATTTAGGGTTTGTGGTTCTCAAAATGCTTTTTTTTTTTTTTTTTTTTTTTTTTTTTGAGACGGAGTTTCGCTCGTTGCTCAGGCTGGAGTGCAATGGCCCGATCTCTTGGCTCACTGCAACCTCTGCCTCCCGGGTTCAAGCGATTCTCCTGCCTCAGCCTCCTGAGTAGCTGGAATTACAGGCGCCCGCCACCACGCCCAGCTAATTTTTCGTATTTTTAGTAGAGACGAGGTTTCTCCATGCTGGCCAGGCTGAAACCTGACCTCAGCTGAGGTCTCGAACTCCTGACCTCAGCTGATCCACCTGCCTCAGCCTCTCAAAGTGCTGGGACTACAGGCGTGAGCCACCGCGCCGGGCCTACTTTTTAAAGTGTATGAAAGCATTAACTTTAATGTTAACATCAGAATTTGAGAAAAAGAAGTTTAATAATTCAAAATTTCGTCTAAAATAATCCAGAACTCCACGTTTCTATCACTCACTGTAGGCTCCTGTCCCTTGCACCCCCGGGCGGGAACCCCTCCCAGGGACCCAGCCAGCTCTCAGCACTTCGGTCCCCATTGGTCTACTCGATCCGACGGAGGGGCTCCTGCAACTGCGCTGTACCCTAAATATGTGCTGAATCGTTTTGACTTTTACTTGTTCCAATTTCGCTTTTTTTTGGTTGCTTTTTTACGAACAAGAGGTTTAGAGAACCACATGGAAAAAAGGCAAGGCCAGGCCCGGACGCCCCGCCTCCTGCCTCCCGGCCCCGCGGTGCCCGGATGCCGGGCTCGCGCCCACGGCTTAGCCACACACGACCTCGGTCCCGTACTTCGCGCGCTCTCCTGCACCGCCGCGGCCATCTCGCTCAGGAGCTCCTCCACGACTGCCGGCAACACTACGGCCATCGCACCGCAGGACACGCCCTCCGCGACTGGTCGACCGCCGCGACGCTCCAGCTGACCGCGCCTACCCGCGGAGGATCCCGACGCCCGCCGGGGCAGGGCGAGACAGAGTGACGTCGACGCGCGTCATCGCGCGTGCGGACGCAAGGATGTCCTGCTCAGTAGTCAGGGCCCGGCCAATCCAGAGGGCGCTCGCCGCGGGGGCGGGGACCAGGATCGCGCCTGGCCTGCAGTGCGCAGAGGACGCGGCGGGAGCATGTACAGGCTCCTCTGCCGGAGTCTGGGCCGAGGCCTCCTGCGGGCCGCGGGGCGGCGGTACCAGGGCTGCTCCGCGCGCCTGCTCCCTGGGCTGGCAGGAGGCCCGGGGCCCGAGGTGCAGGTGCCGCCATCCCGAGTCGCGCCGCACGGCCGGGGCCCAGGCCTGCTGCCGCTGCTGGCAGGTGAGGGGCGCGGGCTGGGCGGGGCCGACTGGACGGGGACAGGGGCGCGGGCCGGGCCCGATGACCTCAGAGCCCCTTCCCGCAGCGCTCGCCTGGTTCTCGAGGCCCGCTGCGGCAGAGGAGGAGGAGGAGCAGCAGGGAGCCGACGGGGCCGCCGCCGAGGACGGGGCGGACGAAGCCGAGGCCGAGATCATCCAGCTGCTGAAGCGAGCCAAGGTGAGGCGGCTCCGGGCCCTGCGCCCGGCCGAGCGCGGTAGCCTTTGTGAGCGGGGTCTTGGCGTTGTCGCTGCGCATTGCTCTCTCCGCCTCGCCGAAGAGTGGATGGAGGCTCCGCGGGTAAAATTGCCGAGAATGAGGTGGGTCATCAGAGAGGGGATTGGAATCCGTCCAGGCTTTCCCGACTCTAAGGCCTGCAGTTAAACCTCTGCAGTGTCAAGTGCAAATGGAGATGGCGCCCCAGGCATCATGCTTTTATGCAAACGAAATACCAGGAACGTTTTGTAGTTGTTTTATCAATTAACCGGCCTACCTGAAATGACACAATTTCGCACGTATATAGCGGCCTGAAAATGTCAACTTAGTGTTGGTTATGCGATTCGGTTCTCTTTCTGAATTCTTCCCTTTCTCCACATGCTTTTCTATTTTCTTGTCTCCTCTTCTCCCCAAGTTATCTCATGCCAACAACGTCCAAATTTGTGTTTCCAGACTGTAGTGTGCTCCTGACATGCCATCTGCACTTTGGTACCTTACCTACCTCTCAGATTTAACATGCCCCAAACTAAACTTGATCTTTAATGCCTCCTCAACATGTGCTTTCACCATCTCTTTACTACCATCAGTTTTTCAGCCTAAAAACCTCATAGTCATTCTTAAAACTTGTGGTACGTTACCATTGCCTTCCAATGCAGTTACAGTCCAGCAACAAGTCCTGTTGCCAACAAATGCAAAATATGTCTCAAATCTTTCCCCTTTTCTCTATCTCCTTTGCTGCCACCCTAGTGCAAACCATCATTGCCACCACCTATGCTCCAGTAGTCTTTCCTAGCCTCCTGTCCCCTTGCAATCTATTCTCCATGCAGAAACCAAAGCGACCAAAAAAAAAAAAAAGTAAATTGGATCATATCATCTCCTTGCCTGAAAGCTCTGAATGGCTACCCACTGCATTTATGATAAAATACAAACTCCTTGCCATGGCTTGCAACACCCCACATGATCTAAACTAGCATACCTTGCCCACCCGTTTGGCAGTAATCCTCTAGCTCACCATCCTCCCTTCACATCTGTTTCTTTGCATTTCTTCCCCAAAACCATTGTCTTCAGCTTGTAGGGATTTCACTCATTTTCTACCCTCTGTTTGAGTCATTGTTCTCCCCAGGTCCTTATTTAGTTGACTCATTCTCATCCTTCCTATCTCAGTTTAGCTGTCACTTCCTTGGAAAGCTTCCCTAAGTCCCATTTGGAGGAGACCCCTTATCATTCCTTTCTGTCATCTTTATAGCTCTTATCATTAGTTGTAATTAAGCTTACTTGTCCTGTATGGTCACCTCCAGCCTGCAAGAAATTAGAAAGAGGATGGAGGACAAGCAGCTTCCTTATAAAATATGTTGTAAGATCACATTCCTTCTGCCTGTGTCTCTTGGCCAAAACTTCATCAGATGGCCACACCTAGCTGCAAGGGAGGCTGACCTCCCTGTCACCTCTATAGACAATGCCTTGTACATAGTAGGAATTCAGTAAGTGTCTGATGAATGAGTTTGCTTTCTTCTATCATTGGGATGTGTAGTTGCATACACTTCTGTCTGGTAGCATATGCATCTACTATATGTTTCATTTTCTATTATTTTGTCTTCCTTTTTCAGTTGAGCATCATGAAAGATGAGCCAGAAGAGGCTGAGTTAATTTTGCATGACGCTCTTCGCCTCGCCTATCAGACTGATAACAAGAAGGCCATCACTTACACTTATGATCTGGTAACTCTTATAACCAGTCTGAACCACTGATGAGGAAGGTTGGATGGAAGGGAAGGGTTGTTAGTTCTCCTGATTCATATTCCTGACTTTCATGATGTTCTAAAGCTCCTTTTCTTTTTCACTGAGTTTTCTTTTGGCTTCAGTTTTATTTTTTTTTGTTTGTTTTGTTTTGTTTTGAGATGGAGCCTTGCTCTGTTGTCCAGGCTGCAGTGCAGTGGCACGATCTTGGCTCACTGCAACCTCCGCCTCATGAGTTCAAACGATTCTTTTGCCTCACCCTCCCGAGTAGCTGGGATTACGGGTACGCATCACTATGCCTGGCTAATTTTTGTATTGTAGTAGAGAGGAGGTTTCACCATATTGGCCACGCTGGTCTCGAACCCCTGACCTCAGGTGATCCACCTGCCTTGGTCTCCCAAAGTGCTGAGATTACAGGCATGAGCCACCATGCCCGGCCATGGCTTCAGTTTTTTTACCCTTGGGGTGACATAAGACCTCTCAATTCCAGACCAAAAGAAACCAGTATCATTAGCATGTTTCTTTAATGATGAGTGGACCTAGATCTGGTTTGTTAACAACAAAGTATGTGCAAGTATTTACTTCTCACATGATTGCTGTTCTGCGCTTCTAGCAGATTAATTGGTGACATACTTTTCATTTTAAACTTTTTAAAATTTTGAGGGTGAAAGCAAAAGGGAATTTTAAAGTTTTGAAATAAGTAGGAACACAGTACTCTAAACTGAAAAACAATTTGTAATTTGCTTTCAGATGGCCAACTTAGCATTTATACGGGGTCAGCTTGAAAATGTAAGTAAATTACTTTGCAATATCTTGAATTTGTGAAGGAGTAGCTTCAAGGGTACTGTGATAGTAAGGGTACAGGATAAGCTGCTATAACAAAGAGACCCCAGAATATAGTGACTCAAACAAGATACAAGTGTATTTCTCTTTATTGTGTTAGTCCAGAGATAGGCTAAAGACTGAAGGCAGATAGACATAGGCACCTTTGCTCTCTGATCCAGAAGTCCAGGTTCCTTCTAAGATAAGCCCTCATCTGCCTGGGTGAACTGCCTCACCTCCAGCCTGCAGGAAGCGGGAGAAGATGGACTGTGAGCAGCTTCCTTATAAAATATGATTTAGAAGTTCATGTTCTTTTTGCCTGCATCCCTTGGCCTAAATTTTATCATATGACCATATCTAACTTCAGGGTGTCCAATCTGCTAAAATTGACTGAATTTTTTTTTTAAGATAAGGTCTTGATCTGTTGCCCAGGTTGGAGTGTGGTGGCTTGATCACGGCCGACTGCAACCTCAACCTCCCAGGCTCAGTTGATCCTCCCACCTCAGCCTCCTGAGTAGCTGGGACTCCAGGCGTGTGCCACAACACCTGGCTAATTTTCTTATTTATTTATTTATTTATTTATTTATTTATTTATTTATTTATTGTAGAGACGGGGTTTCACCATGTTTCCCAGGCTAAATTGAGGGGACTCTGTAATCAAAAAGATGGAGAAGCAGAATGACTATTAGGAGACAGTTTGTAGTCTCTGCCACAGTGGGTTTGGATAAGAAGTTAATCTCTGAGGTTGTTTTCTGCTCATCAGAGAGTAGTTTAAGGTACATAGAGGATGGTGGGGGTCCTGATATTTTGATCTGTTTTCCTTTCAAAAGGGTACTTTTCTGCGTGTGAGTGTGCATGTGTGTGAGTATATGGGCTTTACAAGGAATGATACATCAGATTGGTACTTAGAATCCGGGGCCATATATATATAATGGGTCCCAATTAAAAGAAAAATCTTTTTCTTATGCTTTTAGGCTGAACAACTTTTTAAAGCAACAATGAGTTACCTCCTTGGAGGGGGCATGAAGCAGGTAAGGACATTGCCTAGTATTGGCCCCTCACTGAAGCAGTTTTCAGAACAGTCTTGTCTGCTGAAAACTCCTGCTAGCCCCACCATACGCTTTGGTCAGGAAAGGTGGAGTTTCCCTTCTGAGATCTGTATACAAATAGACATTCTTTCACTAAATGCAACAGCATGTTGGCCAAGGAATTCACAGTTGGCTAATCACTCTAAAAGAATAAAGACTGTGGCTTTGAGGCCACTGTCAGTCTGGAAGTTGATCCGAAATAATCCATGAGAATATTTGACTTGTTATGAATTCCCTTCATTCTCTTTCTCTCACAGGAGGACAATGCCATAATTGAAATTTCCCTAAAGCTGGCTAGTATCTATGCTGCGCAGAATAGGTAAGTACGGCCGCCAGGGAGTAGGACTGTGGGCAGAAAAGTTTGACTCTGGGATGTTACATAATATTCATTGCCTGCTGGTCATCTGGGTCTCCCAGAAATTGGGTGCCACACTCAAAAAGTGTTCTGTCCCTCATCTTTGGAATTGTCAGTCTTTTCCAGTTTGCCCCTCCTGTTTCCAGTAGCCTGCCTAGTGGGGCACACAGCATCTCTGACTGCCCTGTGACAAAGCTAACTATGTTTTCTGTTGCTGCTTGAAGTGGGAAGGGAAGTTAGAGTTACCACTTTAGTTTAACTTTCTTAGAAGAGGAAAGAGCAGTGTGAAAGCTGCTGGGGATAATATATTAATACTCTGAAGAAGCCATTTTGCTGGTATAGATAGAGTTCAAAGATGAAGCATCTAGGATGTAAGCAGAGAACTCCTCTAGAGAGTTGTATTTGGGGTGAATTTAGGGAGAGACCTAAGACTAGCTTCACTTAGGGTTTTAGTGGTGCAGAAGTTGGTGCGAGAGGTTTGGAGTGACACGGAGCCTGATGCTGTAGAAAGGGTGCTTACTGAGACCAGGCCCTGGCACTGGTCCCTGCTGTCTTACTCACCAGCTCCTTTGTTCTCATCAGGACCTGCAGAGTCTCCTTGCATTTTGATTGGACACTAGATAGGCTAGAGCTTCCTAGAGCCTTTGACTTCATGTCTTTTGAGGAGCTTTGAACCTAGCCTATGCCAGAGAACACTGCAGCTTGGTCAGTCTTCCTTGGAGTTGTAACAAACATGCCTAGTTCTTGATGAACTCCTAGGGTAAGAAGAAGCCCGGAGCTAATAAACGTTGTTGAATAAGACAAATTCATAGTCTTATAGATGTGAAAACTAGTAACAATTAGCCTCTAAGTTACATGGTATACTGTACTTTTTATTTTGTTTTATTAAGACAAGCATGAGACTAGAAAAGACATGGCCAGATCTGAGGCTTCGAAAGGCTGATATAAGTTAGGAGGGGAATTGTTTGTGGACCTCTTGTTCTGACTGGGAGCATCTTGTGGGCAGCGTCCACTTGCCCTGTGTTATGGCTGGAGAGGGCCCTCTTGCCAAGTTTTGAGTCTAGGGAAGGAAGGGGATGCTTCTGTTCTTCTGAGAACAGAGCAGAACAGTAGGGTCGTAAGTTCTCCCCTGGCAAAGCACTAGAGAAAAGATGAGCTTTTAGTGCCACTTCTGTAAGAAACTAGAGCCAAAACCGAAGAACAAGAACCAAAACTGAGTTCCTAAATGGAGAAGGGATTTCTGTCACATTTCCTCTGCATCTCTGTAGAAAGCAGTAGTCAGCCAGCCTGCTTGGGTTAACTGAACCCTCTCCAATTGATTGAGGGTCCAGGGCTACAGAGTTGGGTTAAACGACTTCTATTGCCACAGCTAGGAGTTCCATTTCTGCAAAAGAAACTTTTATCAGAGACCTACAGCTTGAAATAAATATAAAATGACTAAAGCTCCTGAGAAGCTGTATGAGGTCAACAGTTGGAATCCTCACTGCAGGGTGGCCTGAACCTCTGTTCAGGGTAGTATTACTTTGAACAGAGGTAAGACTTTCGCACATGGAGAAACTGATTCACTGGAGACCATCTGTTAGTGGGAGATGATGAAGACCGCTGGCTATGTCGGTTATTAAAATTAGGGCAGCATTCCTAGCTTTTTGTGTCTTAAGTTATATTAAATGGATGACTTTTAACTACTTTGAGAAATGGCAGATTTGACACTCCTTAGACTTTAAACAAAGTTCCCTCTTCCCATTTTACACTTCCTTTACTGATAATGTTTAAACTGAGCTGCAAAAATGAAGATAAAAAAGGAATTTATGAAAAGGTAAATGGGCCGGGCGTGGTGGCTCACGCCTGTAATCCCACCACTTTGGGAGGCCGAGGCAGGTGGATCACCTAAGGTCAGGAGTTCGAGACCAGCCTGACTGACCAACATGGAGAAACTCTGTCTTTACTAAAAATAGAAAAATTAGCTGGGCATGGTGGCGGACACCTGGAATCCCAGCTACTTGAGAGCTGAGGCAGGAGAATCGCTTGAACCCGGGAAGTGGAGGTTGCTCTGAGCCGAGGTCGCGCCATTGCACTCCAGCCTGGGCAACAAGAGCGAAACTGCATCTCAACGGCAAAAAAAAAAAAAAAAAAAGAAGAAAAGGTAAATGACTGATTATTGATTTTGCTTTACAGACAGGAATTTGCTATTGCTGGCTATGAATTCTGCATTTCAACTCTAGAGGAAAAAATTGAAAGAGAAAAGGAATTAGCAGAAGACATTATGTCAGGTAGGAAACCCATTATCTGGGCATCGCCTTTTCTCCACAAAAGGCTTTACTTTACACTTTGAGAAATGGAAAGAGATCTAAATTGGGAAGAGGGAAAGTTACCTATCTTTAAGGTATCAGCAGAAGTTTTGGAATAAGATGTTTTGTTTAAAATATTTGCTGTTTTGGTGTTTTTTTTTTTTTTTTTTTTTACCCCCTTGGTGACATGTTCATAATTTATCTGTTAACTTTTAGTTACATATAACTTATGGAAAATCGGGGAGCAGAAGAAGGTCTTTCTTTTATTATCTCTTAGTTCAGCTACCAATCAAAATGCTTATTACATTTTAGCCCTAGATATACAGCAAATTAAGAAAGCAGAGAAAAAAAGCTCATGTTTTTGAAATTCATCCTCACTCATTCTAGAGACTAGGAATAGAACTGGATGAGCAGGAAGTTCTCTAGCTCTCCACCATTTTGGGTTTCTTAATTTGGATTGAAGTATTGAGAATTTTCAGATTTGACATTTATTCAATACCTACTCTATACCAAGAGCTATCAAGATGGTAGGGATACAGCAGTCAGCTCTTCTGTACCTAATTGTCTTCTAACTCTCTCTTGAACAGACAGTAGTCCCCTATTATCCATGGGGGATATGTTCCAAGACCCCCAGCAGATGCCTGAAACGAATTCTAATACACTGTGTTTTTTTCTTATACATATGTACCTATGATAAAGTTTAATTTATAAGTTAGGCACAGTAAGAGATTAACAACAATAACTTATAGAACAATTATAACTATATACTGTTAACAGTGTTACAGACAGAAGATTCATTCTTATTGTAGATCTTATCAACCTCAGCATACAGTTTTGTTTTTTTTCTTATTGAGAACTTTCACCTTTTCATTAAAAGGAATCACTTTATGACTTCTCTTTGTCATATCCAAATTGCCAGTATCACTACTCTTACACTTTGGGGCCATTATGTAAAATATGGATTGCTTGAGCACAAGTACTGCGACACTGTGGGTTGATCTGATAACTGAGACTGCTGCTAAGTGATTGAGGCCAGGTGCCGTATACAACTTGGGTACACTGGACAAAGAGGTGATTCACGTCCTGGGCAGGATGGAGTGTGACAGGGCAAGATTTCATCATGCTACCCAGAATGGCATGCAATTTAAAAACTTATGGATTATTTCTGGAATTTTTCATTTAATATTTTTCAGACCATGGTTGACTGCAGATAACTGAAACCCCAGAAAACTGTGGATTAAGAGGGATCACTGTACACCAATTTTTTTGTTTTCATCACTCCACTGAAGCTACCTTTATCAAAGTCACCAAATCCAATGGTTACTTGTCAATCCTTAATTTACTCATCAGCAGCTTTAACTTAGGGGGTCACTGTCTCCTACTGAAAATACTTTCACTTGGCTTCTGGGATGCCTCAGTGGTCTCTCCAGTGAGGTGAACAGACTTCCCTACCTCTTAATGTTGGCAGGCCTTAGGGCTGTTTTCAGTCCTATTCTCTTTTCTCTCTGCCCCCACACCTAGGAGATATCTTTTAGTTCCATACTTTTAAATATTACATTTACACCTTCAGCCCCAACTTGCCCCTAAATGGCAGACTTATGATTATGATTGCCTACCCGACATCTTGACTTGAAGTCTAATGGTCATCTCATACTTCCCATGTCCAAAATAGATCTTTTCAGTTTTGCCGCTCACAACTTGTTTCTTCACCAGTCAGCCCCAGATTTGTAAATGGCACACTACTCATTTAGTTGCTTTGGCCAAGAACCTAAGAATTGTCCATTATTTCTTCCTCATTCCTCATATCTAATCCATCAGCAAGTTATATTGGATCAGCCATTAAAATATATCCATACTGACCACATCTCATCCCATTACCCTACCGCTTTGGTCCAGGCCATCACTGTTTCAAGACCTCAGTACCTTTGTATCACCTTTAGAATAAATTTAGAATCCCTGCGTGGACCTATAAGGCGCTTATGACCTGGGCCCACCCACCTCTTCCACGCCATCTGCTGCTCTCCCCTCGCTTGTTCCAGTCTCACCACACTGGTCTTATTCTGGCACATTCCAAGCTCAGTGCCGCCTCAAGGCCTCTTTGCTTGATATTCCCTCTACCTAGACTGTTCTCTCTTACCTTTTCCTGGCCAACTCCCGTACTTCACTCAGGTCTCTGCTCAAATAGCACTTCCTCAGAGTCCTCTCCTCACTAAAATTATCATCTCTTCCCACCTTACTATTGCTCTACTCCTCCTTCCTTTACTTTTCTTCATCACACTTGAAAGTAGAGGTGTGTGTGTTGTGTGCTTGTGTTTGTTTCTCCACTAAAAGTATGTTTTTGTTTAAAAATTTTTAGTCTTTGTCTTCCTTATCAAAGAAGGATAGAGACTTCATCCATTATGCTCACTGCTAAATCCTCGGTGCCTAGAACAGTGCCTGGCACATAATAGAGGCTCAATAATTACTGAATGAAAGAACAAAAGACCCAAGAAAGACCAACAAGTAAATCCAGTTTCAGTGCAGTGTGGAAGTGCTTTGAGGAAATCCACAAGAGGTGTAAAAACAAGTCTAGCTGTCAAGTAAGTCACTTCTGAACTATTTACACCTTTGCTATCTTTCTGTGGTTTCTTAGGAGTGTAAAGCTGTATTTCCTGACTCAAAAAGTAATTCCAGTAAACACTGAAGAAAACTGAGAAAAGCACTAAGAAGTAAAGATCATCTATAATCATACTACTAAGAAAGAGCTACTGTTTTTGACTACGGCTTTTCAGGTTACATTTTAAGACATAAATTTGGGATGATACTGTATATCCCACTTTGTAACCTGAGTTTTAAAAATTTAGTAACATATTGTGAAAACATTTTTTTTTTTTCCAGGCAAAGGAATTCTTGTTGGATAGAGCAAACTAATCTCTATTATAAATATTATTTTTACATTTTACTAGGTGTGCAATATAGAAAATGTGTTACATGATTCTTCATCTTATTTTTTCTAGAAAAGAAATTCCTACTTATTCAGTTTTGCACAAAGCAAATCCATTATCAAATTTATGTGCTTTTTATTGACACAACTATCTGTATCCCAGGAGAGCATTACTTAATTACGTAAAATTACATTACTTACATAAAACCTTGCTCTAGGGTAATTATTTTGTTACCTATGTTGTAAATAACTTACTGAGGAAATGCCCATAAAAAATTAAGTGAAAACTTTGGTTACAAAACAGTATAGTTAGTATGTAGACTAATGATAGGAATGGAACAAAGGCTTAATGATAGATATCAAAATATAGGCAGTGATTCTCTTTGGTTGGTAGGTTTATAGGGAATTTATATTTTATTTGTGTTTCTCTGAGTATTCTATAATTTTGCACAAATTTATATTTTTCTTTTTAATTTCCAATGTTACCTATTAGTATAAAAAGTCAAATAATATTAATAGTACAAAGCTTAATTTAAGAGAGCATTTTCTTGCTACCTCACCCCACCCCATCTATTTTTTTTATTTTTTTGAGATGGAGTCTCGCTCTGTCACCAGGAGTGCAATGGTGCAATCTCGGCTCACTGCAGCCACTGCCTCCCGAGTTCAAGTGATTCTCATGCCTCGGCCTCCCGAGTAGCTGGGACTACAGGCGCCGCCACCACGCCCGGCTATTTTTGTATTTTTAGTAGAGTCACCGTGTTAGCCAGTGATCTCCTGACCTCGTGATCCGCCCGCATCGGCCTCCCAAAGTGCTGGGATTACAGACATGAGCCACAGCGCCCGGCCCCTGTTTTCAGCTCTTAAACCAGCTTCCTCTGGTATTTACCTTCACATTTCTCAGTAATATAAATTGCTATTTCCTAATTCATTATTTTCAGAATCTGTTGATTTATGGGAAAGTGAATATTTAGTGCAATTTCTGGTTGTGTCTATATTACGAGTGTATGAATAGTGTTAGCTGCTGAGCCAAGTAACATGATTACACAATTACATTTCCTTTTGTGTACATTTTGCTTCCTCTGAAGTTAACTAGGTTTTTTTGTGGCTCCGTTTGTTATGTATATGTCAGATTCTTCACTTTTATATATTATTTGCTTTCTTCAATTCATAAGCTTTCCCAGTGTTCTAGAGTTCATGTTGGCTCACTTTTCATTGGCATGGCTGGCCATAGGCATTCAGTCTTCATCTTCCTTTTTTGTTTGTTTTCGTTGAGACGGGGTCTCACTCTGTCGCCCAGGCTGGAGCGCAGTGGCTCGATTTTGGCTCACTGCAAGCTCCGCCTCCTGGGTTTAAGCAATTCTCATGCCTCTGCCTCCTGAGTAGCTGGGATTACAGGCGTGAGCTACCACACCTGGCTAATTTTGTATTTTTAGTAGAGATGGGGTTTCACCATGTTGGCTGGCCTGGTCTGGAACTCCTGACTTCAGGCGATCCGCCCGCCTCAGCCTCCCAAAGTGTTGGGATTACAGGCGTGAGCCACCACGCCCAGCCATGTTATATCTTTTTCATCCTGTAACTTTCATTTTAGTGGTATTTGGGGAAGGAGTGGAGAGGAATGTATGTGTTCAGTTCAGAATAGTAAATCTGTTATTGGGCATCAAGATGGTGTCCAAACCTGTTTTTTTAAAGTGGCTTCTTAGCACTGAGATTTCCAAGTCAAGAGTAGCACATTTTAAGATTGTTGATGACTATTGCCAAATTGCCATTGAAAGGACTGTGTTAATTTACATTTCCTAGTCTGGCTATTTATGTGCTTTGTGACTTTAGTCAAATTACTTAATCCCTGTGTGCTTTTTCTTCAGTATGGGATTAAGAGTAATATGCATAGGACCTTTAGGAAGGTGGAATGAGTTAATACATAAAAAGTACTTAGAATAATACATTGTAGCTGCTCAAAAAGAGTTTGTTAGTGGTTTTTATTATTGTGATAAGGCTATGTCCTCCTTCCCAAAACTCATTAATTTTTATAATCTTTGTTAGCTTGATGATATGGCCTTGATGCATTATCTAGCATTTCTTTGATAAACAGTGAGGTTTATCTTTTTTTTCTCACCATGTCTTAGGGTGCTGAGAGGTTTATCTTTCATTGGAGCTTTATTATAAAAACATTAATCCTTTGTCTCTTGGGTTTTCCTCCTGATTTGTGTTTATAGAATTTTTTTTTTTCCCTAATAAAAAGGGAATGTGAAATTAATATTTGTATAAAGAATTATGAGAATTGGCCAGGCACAGTGGCTCATGCCTGTAATCCCAGCACTTTGGGAGGCCAAGGTGGGAGGATCACTTGAGGTCAGGTATTCAAGACCAGCCCTGGCAATGTGGCAAAACCCCATGTTTACAAAAATTATCTGGGTGTGGTGTTGCACACCTGTAGTCCCAGCTACTCGGGAGGCTGAGGTGAGAATCTCTTGAGCCTGGGAGGTGGAGGTTGCAGTGAGCTGAGGTCCCACCACTGTGCTTCAGCCTGGGTGACAGAGCAAGACCCTGTCTTGGGGCGGGGGTGGGTGGGCGTAGGCGGAAGATGATTGTGAGTATAGACAAGTGACCCAGCATTACCAGTACCTTTGGAGCTCTTCCTACCTGAGATAATACTCTCCTTAATCTTGTCACTATCATTCAATGGTGCGATCTCGGCTCACCGCAACCTCCACCTCCCAGGTTCAAGTGATTCTCCTGCCTCAGCCTCCCGAGTAGCTGGGACTACAGGCATGTGCCACCACGCCCGGCTAATTTTGTATTTTTAGTAGAGGCGGGGTTTCTCCACGTTGGTCAGGCTGGTCTCGAACTGCCGACCTCAGGTGATCTGTCTGCCTCAGCCTCCCAAAGTGCTGGGATTACAGGTATGAGCCACCATGCCCGGCCCATTTGCTTTTCTTTAGTTTTACTCTGTGTCCCTTAAGAAGGTGTCATTTAATTTTTGCATATTGCTTTTAAAAATTTAAATAGGCTGGGTGCAGTGACTCATGCCTGTAATCCCAACACTTTGGGAGGCCAAGGTGGGAGGATCGCTTGAGCCCAGGAGTTTGAGACCAGACTGGGCAACATGGTGAGATCCTGTCTCTTCAAAAAATAAAAAAATTACCTGGGCATGGTGGCACATGCCTGTGGTCCCAGCTACTTAGCAGACTGAGGCAGGAGGATAACTTGAGCCCAAGAGGTTGAGGCTGCAGTGAGCTCTCATAGTGCCACTGTCCTTTAGCGCAGGCAGTAGAGAGAGACCCTGTCTCAAAACAAATTAAAATTATATAAATGAATCATAATATGTATTCATTTTAGGGCATTTTTATTACTTGCATGAGTAATCTTTTCAGAATTAGATCAGAATTCATTTCTAATTTCCTTTGCTTTTATTCGTCTTTAATACATACTGAGTAGCTGTTCTGTGCCAGGTATTCTAGGATTTGAATAGCAGCAAGTAAGGTAAAAGTCCCTGCTCTTCTGGAGCTTAATGCTTAGAAGTATTTTTCAAGCTTTGAAATCGTATGCATCCTCACTTATCTTTCCTTATAATTTTCTATTTTTCTCCTTGTATTTCTAAACATTTTTAATTTAACTTTTTAGTATATCTGGAATTTATTTTGGTGTGAAGCTGGTGACTGTTTTCTTACAGATAGTAATCAATCTATATGTACTAATTAGTATATACTTGGGTTTCTTTTGGGGTTTTCCATTCTGATGTATTTATCTGATGAGTTTTATAACAGTATACATTGTTTGAATTATATATTTCAGTTATATGGTAGGACAGTTGACACATGCTTCCTTTGCAGAATTCCTTCCCACATTTCACTGTTTTCACATGAATTTTAGAATTATTTTTTCAAGTTCCTAAAGTGCCTTGAAACTGAATTATCAGATTTGCATTATATTTACAAATTAGTTTGAGGAGATTGCCATCTGAATAAGTTAGCATATCTTTGACTGCAAAGAGCAGAAATTTCAGCTAAATTAGGTTTAACAGTAAGGACATTTATGTCAAGTAACTGGCAGTTCAGTGACAGGGAGCAGGCTGTTAAGTTAGTTGATAATGTGATTCATTGAAATCATGAAGGAACAGGCTCTTTCCATCTTTCCTCACTCATGTATTTTTTTCCCATGCTCCCCTGGTGGTTGAAACGTGAAACTAGCAATTCCCAGGAATCTCATCCAGAAATGACAGTGTCCAGAGGAAAAGGAGACTTCTTTGATGTTTCTCATAGGATCAAGGTAATCTTTCCTAGAAGTCTCCAAGTAGATTTATCCTTACTTCTTATTGGTTAGAATTGGGTTACATGCCATTTCTAACCCAGTCCTTGGGAAGAAAAATGGATTATCATGATTGGCTAAAACTCATCAGTATCTTTTCCTGAGGATGTGAGTCATGTGAGAAAAGAACGGATACTGGGACAAACCAGCTGCTCTGCTAGCAAAGGAAAATCTTTGTAATAGTGAGCCGTCTCACTGAGGAACATTCTATAGCTCCTGCTTATATTATAGTTTTCTTCATATAAATGGCAGCTCTTTATTAAATTTGATTCTAACTGACTCCTTGACTGAACTCTTTGCTTTTCAGTTGATATTCACGCTAATTCCAGATTTATAATCATACATTCCAGATATGATGGTACAGGTGGAGCATCCCCCAAAACTGAAGCTTTCTGAGTGCCAATATGATGTACAAAGAAAGTACTCATTGGAGCATTTGGATTTGGGTTTTTGGTTTTGGGATGCTGGCAGTATCCAAAACAAATATTCCAAACTCAAAAAATCTGAAATTTGAAACACTTTTGGTCCTAAACATTTCAGATAAGGAATACTCAAGCTGTAATTGTTTCCTTCCAGAGAGTTATACTACTGTCTCCCTTCCCCACCCTTTATAATAAATTAGTTCATTGGCGTACCATCAAGAAATAGTAGTAATAAGCAACTTAGTCTTGTATCCAATTTGGTACCAAACTATGTGACTAGATTTATTACTATTATATATCTAGAGCAGACCAGGCTTGCTTGTAGGTTAATTGCTTAGTACCTGTGTAGTGCTGGATAATATTTAATGCTGATATGTAACTTTTGTGTTTCTTATGAGATCCACAGTACATTTCTTATTGTATTGTTTGTACTATTGTGTTTGTATTATTTGTTATTGCAGGATTGTATTAATGTGATAAAATGAATTGGGATGCTTTATTTTCTATTCTGAAATAAGTGTATGATATTGCATTGGAATGGTCTGTTCCTTGCAAGTTGTAGAGTCTATCATGCCAGATGGACCAGAACTCCTGAGTTAATTCTCTGACAGATTTTTTTCTTCCTTCTTGATTACTCATGTATTTCTTCCATTTTCTTAATTTCAATATAGGACAGTGCTAAATACATGATAAGCATTAATATCTATTGAATAAATGAACGTATGGGTGAACAAATTTTATAACTTACTAATTTCCTAGAAGAAACTTTAAGGAATTATATTTTTAAAGCATATTTTACATTACTCTTAACATATCTGATATCATCTTCCTTTTCTAGTTCCTAATTTTATGGATTTCTTTTTAAATTAGTAAAAAGATGTTTCCCATTGATTCTTTCCTCCTCCTTTCCTTGAAACTTTTTATTTTTATATTTTAAATAAAACATTTCTAGAAAGTTATTTTTGATGACGTAATATTTGGTTTCATGAGTGCTTAAAGTCTGGAGCCCGAGTTCAGATTCTGGTTCTACCACTTACTAGCAGTGGACAAGTTATTTAACTTCTCTATTCTCACCTTCCTTATCAATAAAATGAAAATAATAATAGAACTTACCTCGTAAGAGTTATGAGAATGAAATACTCCAGGACTATGACCGGTACTCATTAGGCACTGTTATATAAAAGTGTGTGGAATGTGATATATTTACTAATCTTATTTATTATATGATTTGGCACCTATATTTTACTACTCTCAATTTATGAAGGACCTTCCTGGCTATTGTATTTATAGTTTCTCCTTGGTTTTTGTTAATTTTGTTGATTCATTCAAAAAGCCATCTTCTGGTTTCATTAATTTTCTTTATTGTTTTTCTATTTTCTATTTCACTTATTTCTTCTCTGTCTTTACTGCATCTCTCCTGTTTGCTTTGGGTTTATTTTGTTCCCTTTTTTCTGGTCTCTTAGGCAGGAGATGAGGTTACTGATTTAAGGTTTTGCTTCTAACATAATTGCCATTTATAACTATAAGCTTTAGCTGCATCTCATTAATTTTGATAAGGTATATTTTCATGTGTCTCAAGTATTTTCCAATTTTTTTTGGATTTCTTCTTTGACCCTTTGGATATTTAGGAGTATATAAATTTCCACATATAGTGAATTTCTCAAATTTTCTTCTGTTGAATCCAGTTTCATTCCATTGTGTTCAGAGAACAACTGTGCATGATTTTATTTATTGAGACTTCTTGTATGGCCTCACATATGGCTTATCCTGGAGAATGTTGCACGTGCATTTGAGAAGTATGTGTATTCTGTTGAATGGAGTTTTCTATGAATGTCTGTTAGGTCTAGTTGGTTTATAGTGTTATTCAAGTCTTTTGTGTCCTTACTGATTTTGTCAAGTTGTTCTAATTTTTTTTTTTTTTCTTTGAGACGGAGTCTTGCTCTCTCACCCAGGCTGGAGTGCGGTGGCGCAATCTCGGCTCACTGCAACTTCCACCTCCTGGGTTCAAGCGATTCTCGTGCCTCAGCCTCCCGAGTAGCTGGGAGTACAGGCATGTGCCATTGGATCTGGCTAATTTTTGTATTTTTAGTTGAGATCAGGTTTCACCATGTTGTCCAGGCTGGTCTCGAACTCCTGACCTCAGGTGGTCCACCTGCCTCAGCCTCCCAGAGTGCTGGGATTACAGGCATGAGCCACCATGCCCGGCTGGTAACTTTTTAAAAATCTTCTTTCTTTATACATGTTTCTGTGCTGTTTAGACAGTCTCAGAGAGAGAGAGAGAGATATATATATATATATATATATCTTTGTTATGAATTGTCCCTTCATCAGGAAAATGATTCCTTTTTCCCTATTTAAGGTATTTGTTACAAATTCTAGTTTTATATTATCTACTGTATCTTAACCCTTAAATTTTTTTCTGAGTCATTTTTCAGTGTATCTTTTGTAGAAAGCTATGGTTGTATTCTTTTTTAAACTTGAGTATCACTGTCTTCTGATACAGAATCTGAAAACCTTTTAAAAATTAGTATTGAGGCTGGGTGCAGTGGCTCACACCTGTAATCCCAGCACTTTGGGAGGCTGAGGCAGGCGCATTACCTGAGGTCAGGAGTTCAAGACCAGCCTGGCCAACATAGTGAAACCCCGTCTCTACTAAAAATACAAAAATTTAGCTGGGTGTGGTGGTGGGCGCCTGTAATATCAGCTACTCAGGAGGCTGAGGCAGGAGAATCACATGAACCTGGGAGGCGGAGGTTGCAGTGAGCCGAGATCGCGCCATCGCACTCCAGCCTGGTTAAGAAGAGTGAAATTCCGTCTCAAACAAACAAAACAAAACAAAAAACAAATTGGTATTGAAAGGGATAATTGGTCTAATTATTGCATTTTTGTTAATTCCTTTGTTTTCAGTTCCTTTTATAGGAATTTTTCCCTCACTGACCTATATTTCTATTTTGTAGGGAAGGTATATGTATATATGATTTTCAGTTCTATAAGGAGTAACCTAAACATTTCTTAAAGACATAGTTGACTCAGAGGAAAAAAAATTGTTTTCAGTTTCTTCTCTAAAATGAGATCTTTCCCTTTTCCTCACTTGTTTTTTCTCTGTGATCTGGAATTTTAGACTTAGTGGAATTTATTGCAGAGGAGAATTCTGAAGCCTGCATATTTGCCTTGTTTTTTAAGTAATCTATTTTCTCCTACTCAGATGCTTTGCTGGACTCAGAAGTTACATCAGCATAAGGTTAGGGAGTTGTCTGTTTGTGAAGCTTGTTTAATCCCTGGTGAACCTTCATTTTTAGCATCCAGTTCTCTGGAGCTTCAGTAGTCTATCCTGGCTCAATGCTTCTGTCCCACGTGCTCTGGCCTCTTACTCTGGAATGTCCTTTACCTGTATGTTGACCTCTCTCTTCTCTATCCTTCACATTATCCCCTCTTCCATCAGTTTTCTCATCTGTATTTTGGGAGTTTCTTCAGTTGATATTCCACATGACCGATTTATGATTAAGGAAAGTCAGTTCTGTGCTTTTCTTCTGATTTGTTTTTTGTTTTTTGAGATAGGGTCTCACTGTGTCGCCCAGGCTGGAGTGCAGTGGTGCAGTCATGGCACACTGCAGCCTCAACCTCCCAGGCTCACCTGATCCTCCTACCTCAGACTCCCAAGTAGCTGAGACTGCATGCGCATGCCACCATGCCTGGCTAATTTCTGGATTTTTCGTAGAGGCAGAGTTTCACCATCTTGCCCAGGCTGGTCTTGAACTTCTGAGTTAAAGCAATCTACTTGCCCTGACCTCCCCAAATGCTGGCATTATGGGCATGAGGCATCACGCCTGGCTGCGCTCTGATGTATTTTTTTAAAATAGATTTCAAACAAAAGTAAAGTTTTCAGGACTTATCAAATATCTGTATACTTTGAGCCTTGGCCAAATTTCAATGTTTTACCATATTTGCTTTAGAATTTTTTTTTTTTTTTTTTAATTTAAACCCCTGTATACCCCTCCCTGCCTAGGGGTAGCTGCTATCCTCAATTTGGTTTTGTTTGCCTACTTATTGCACTTGTATATATCAATAAACAATATATTGCTGGGTACAGTGGCTCACACCTGTAATCCCAGCCCTTTGGGAGGCCAAGACAGGTGGATCATCTGAGGTCAGGAGTTCAAGACCAGCCTGGCCAACATGGCGGAACCTTGTCTCTACTAAAAATACAAAAATTAGCCCAGCATGGTGGCGGGCGCCTGTATTCCCCCCTACTCGGGAGGCTGAGGCAGGAGAATTGCTTGAACCTGAGAGGCAGAGGTTACAGTGAGCTGAGATCGCGCCACTGCACTCCAGCCTGGGTGACAGAGTGAAGACTCCGTCTCCAAAATAAACAATATACCATAGGGCTAATATGTTTTTAAACTTAATATGAATGGTATCATACTGTACAATTGTTTTTGTAGTTTGCTTTTGTCACTCAATATTATGTTAATGAGATTTATCGGGCTGATATTTAAAGCAGTTTTCTTAGCACAGAGGCCCTGTTTGCTTGCCAAACTGCATGTCTGCTGGGTTGCATCTGTCTTTAAAGGGTGACTTCCTCTAATTAATCTGCTGGGGTGAGGGGTAAGGTGAATCTTTTTTCTGTTCTCACAAGTGTGGACACAAGCTAAAGGTGGCCCTGTGTGATTCCCTCACTACAACCATGGTATAGTAGTCCATTGTAGAAATATACCAGTTTTTTTTTTTTTTAATACTTTAAATCATAGGACAGACGTGCACAACGTGCAGGTTTGTTACATATGTCAGTAAGTGCCTTGTTGGTGTGCTGCACCCATTAACTTGTCATTTACATTAGGTGTATCTCCTATTGCTATCCCTCCCTCCTCCCCTCACCCCACGACAGGCCCCGGTGTATGATGTTCCCCTTCCTGTGTCCAAGTGTTCTCATTGTTCAATTCCCACCTATGAGTGAGAACATGCGATGTTTGGTTTTTTGTACTTGCGATAGTTTGCTCAGAATGATGGTTTCCAGCTTCATCCATGTCCCTTCAAAAGACATGAACTCATCCTTTTTTTATTGCTGCATAGTATTCCATGGTTATATGTGCCACATTTTCTTAATCCAGTCTATCATTGATGGACATTTGGGTTGGTTCCAAGTCTTTGCTATTGTGAATAGTGCTGCAGTAAACATATGTGTGCATGTGTCTTTATAGCAGCATGATTTATAATCCTTTGGGTATATACCCAGTAATGGGATGGCTGGGTCAAATGGTATTTCTACTTCTAGATCCTTGAGGAATCGCCACACTGTCTTCCACAATAGTTGAACTAGTTTTACAGTCCCAACAGCAGTGTAAAAGTATTCCTATTTCTCCACATCCTCTCCAGCACCTGTTGTTTCGTGACTTTTTAATGATCGCCATTCTAACTGGTGTGAGATGGTATCTCATTGTGGTTTTGATTTGCATTTCTCTGATGGCCAGTGATGATGAGCATTTTTTCATGTGTCTGTTGGCTGCATAAATGTCTTCTTTTGAGAAGTGTCTGTTCATATCCTTCACCCACTTTTTGATGGGGTTATTTGTTTTTTTCTTGTAAATTTGTTTGAATTATTTGTAGATTCTGGATATTCGCCCTTTGTCAGATGAGTAGATTGCAAAAATTTTCTCCCATTCTGTAGGTTGCCTGTTCACTCTGATGGTAGTTTCTTTTGCTGTGCAGAAGCTCTTTAGTTTAATTAGATCCCATTTGTCAATTTTGGCTTTTGTTGCCATTGCTTTTGGTCTCAGCCCCAAATCTCCTTAAGCTGATAAGCAACTTCAGCAAAGTCTCAGGATACAAAATCAATGTGCAAAAATCACAAGCATTCTTATATACCAATAACAGACAGAGAGCCAAATCATGAGTGAACTTCCATTCACAATTGCTTCAAAGAGAATAAAATACCTAGGAATCCAACTTACAAGGGATGTGAAGGACCTCTTCAAGGAGAACTACAAATAACTTGCTCAACGAAATAAAAGAGGACACAAACAAATGGAAGAACATTCCATGCTCATGGATAGGAAGAATCAATATTGTGGAAATAGCCGTACTGCCCAAGGTAATTTATAGATTCAATGCCCATCGCCATCAAGCTACCAATGACTTTCTTCACAGAATTGGAACCAAAAAAAGAGCCCGCATTGCCAAGACAATCCTAAGCAAAAAGAACAAAGCTGGAGGCATCGCGCTACCTGACTTCAAACTGTACTACAAGGCTACAGTAACCAAAACAGCATGGTACTGGTACAAAAACAGAGATATAGACCAATGGAACAGAACAGAAACCTCAGAAATAATACTATACATCTATAACCATCTGATCTTTGACAAACCTGACAAAAACAAGAAATGGCGAAAGGATTCCCTATTTAATAAATGGTGCTGGAAAACTGGCTAGCCATATGTAGAAAGCTGAAATTGGATCCCTTCCTTACACCTTATGCAAAAATTAATTCAAGATGGATTAAAGACTTAAATGTTAGACCTAAAACCATAAAAACCCTAGAAGAAAACCTAGGCACTACCATTCAGGACATAGGCTTGGGCAAGGACTTCATGTCTAAAACACTGAAATATACCCCACAGTTCTATTGATGGACCTGTTGGGTCATTCTATATGTTTTGCTATTAAAAGTCATACTTCACTGAACATTCTTGGACCTGCGTCTTTGTACACACCTGCAAGATAGTCCCTGGAATATGTACATAAAAGTGGAGTTGCCGGGGTGCATATACCAAATTGCTTATCAGGCTGGGTGTAGTGGCTCACACCTGTAATCCCAGCACTTTGGGATGCTGAGGTGGGCAGATCACTTGAGGTCAGGAGTTGGAGACCAGCCTGACCAATAAGGTGAAACTCCATCTCTACTTAAAAAAAAAAAAAAAAAAAAAAGCCAGGCGTGGTGGTGGGCACCTGTAATCCCAACTACTTGGAAGGCTGAGGTACAAGAATTGCTTAAACCCGGGAAGGTAGAGGTTGTAATAAGCTGAGATCATGCCACTGCACTCCAACCTGGGCAACAGAGCAAGACTGTCTCAAAAACAACAAAAACCAAATTGCTGATCAAAGTGGTTTTACCAGTTTACATTTTGACTAGTAATATATTAGTGTTCGTGATGCGCTCTGTATCTTTGTTATCATCAGATATTTTTGATAATCTGCAGGGTTTGAAAAGGAATTTCATTGTGGCTTCACTATGTTTCTGATTACTGTATTTATTGGCTATTAGATTATTTGCTCTGAAAATTATTCATATCCTTTGCCTATTTTTTTGAGGGGTTGTCTTTTTCTTAACAATCTGTAAGAGTTCCTTATGTATTCGATCATTTTATATTTTTGTAGGTTACTTATCTCTTTGTAGCTTGTCTTTTCACATTAGGGCATTTGACATTGATTAAAACTTTGGATATTAACAGAATCTTGATATTTATCTTCATAGTTTGTGCTTGTTATATCTTGATTTGTAATGACATCTCTATATTGGGTTTTCATAAATTCGTGGGGTGCTAATGTTTAAATCTGTAATTATAACTAATTTTTAGTTTCATTATAATTTTTCCCTATTTAATTCAGTACCTTATTTTTTTCCCCACAAGAGACAAGGTCTTCCTTTGGCCAGGCTGGAGTGAGTGCAGTGACATGATCACAGCTCACTGCAACTTTAAACTCCTGATACCAAGTGATCCTCCCACCTCAGCCTCCAGAAGAATAAGGACTACAGGCACGTGCCACCATGTCTGACTTATATATATGTATTTTTGGGGGAGTGTATATATTTTTTTGGGGGGTGGGGGTAGAGATGAGGTTTTGCTATGTTGCCCAGGCTGGTCTCGACCTCCTGGGCTGAAGTGGTCCTCCTGCCTCGGCCTCCCAAAGTACAGGCTTGCGGGTGTGAGCCACCATGCCTAGCCCTTTTGTAATTCCTTCTATTTGTTCATTCATTCAACAATTCAGTCAGAAATACTGAATGCCCATTACATGCTAGATATGCTGCTAGGTTCTGAGATACAGATATAAATAAAACAAAGTTGGCTGGGTGCAGTGGCTCACGCCTGTAATCCCAGCACTTTGGGTGGCTGAGACAGGCGGATCAAGAGGTCAAGAGTTCAAGACTAGCCTGGCCAATATTGTGAAATCCCGTCTCTACTACAAATAATAAAAAAAAAAAAATTAGCTGGGCGTGGTGGTGCACCTGTAGTCCCAGCTACTTGGGAGGCTGAGGCAGAAGAATCACCTGAACCAGGGAGGCGGAGGTCGCAGTGAGCGGAGATTGTGCAACTGCACTCCAGCCTGGGTGACAGAGTGAGACTTCGTCTCAAAAAAGAAAAAACAAAAAAGTCACTGCCTCATGGAGCTACATTTCTGGTGGGGGAAAGACGCATAGTAAGCACTATCCAGTAAGTTGGTGTGTCCAGAGTGCTATGTAGATATTTATGAAGGAATATGTATAGCAGGAATACATTGGGGAAGTATGCTGTCTTATAGAGGGGGTAGGGAAGGCCTTGTTAGTATGAAACCTGGTGAATGGGAGAGAACAGGCAAGTGGCTATTTGTGAGGGAAGAAAATTACAGGCAAAGGGCAATTACAGGTACAAGACTCAGGTGGTGTATGCTTGACTTACTGGAAGTAAGAACTACTGGAGTTGTCTGATTTTATAAAATTTTGGGGGATGAGGCCTGCTTTCTTACTGTCTGCTGATTCTCATTTATTTGGATTATACATTCATCTTCAGCAAGGTTTTAGCTATACAGTGAGATTCCAGAATAGTTTTGTGTCTTCCAGGCACTCAGCTCCTGGCTGAAGTGGATGTTATAAATTTAGACATCAAATTTACAGGGTAGTCATTTTTCTCATCTAGATTCCAGAATTGGCCATTCAGAGCTCCTTGTTGTCTCCCTGTGCCTGTGGTCAGGGGGTTAGGGGAAGTGTAGGTTGGAGTGGTGCAATTCTTTTCACATACATTCTTTTCCTGGGGTTGTGGTCCTAATGGTAATCCTGGTTTTATGCACTGGCTTTGGATCTAGTTCTGTTTAGTACACATCAACAGCTTGAATTCCTGGATTACAGAAACGCTCCAGCTACAACAAAAAGCAGGCTTTTGCTGTGTCAACTCACAGACTCTCCACTTTGGGTTTTAGCTTACTCCTAATTTCTGGCACTTGGGGTTTCCTTCTCTTGGGAGCTTAGCTGTGCATGGAAAGGATGTGTGTTACAGTTTATCTAAGATTTCTAGGTGTTTGAAGCAGATGAGTTTCATCAATAGCGTTGTTAGATTGTCCTTTATTCCCTCTACTAAAACCATTAACACTAATTAGGAAGTGCTAATCAGTTGATTAACAAGTGATTTAGTTTAGCAGAAATTTCAGGATATTCTTGGAATTTGGTCCATAAATCTCTCTAGTTTCAAAGACCCTTGTAGACTTTCCTATATTGCTGTTGATGGTGAGGGGGTAGGGGAGAGTTAAGAGGCCTATGCTCAAGTTTCCCTAAATTAGAGATGCTCTTTTGCTATTGTTATAAATGCATATAATTGCCCCAGTACTTTATCAAATTCCCTTTAGTCTATATTTATATAAACCTAGTTTGATATACTGAGCCATTCTTTTATTCCTGGAATAAATGCTGTTTGGTCATCTCCTTAGTACATCTGATTATTATTCCATTTGGTAATATTTTGAGTAAAAAATTCTATAGTGAATCCTGTTTACCTCTTGGACTGAGTATAGTGGCGTATCTTTTTCTGTGATCAGAAGTTATTTATGAAAGAGAATCATTTATGTTTGAAGAAGTAAATACGCCTCAGTTTCAAATGATCCTTTAGGGGCTCTATATAAATGATTCCAATATATTTCTCAGTTGTTATTAAAGTACTTGATTTTTTTCTTGTCTAACTTTTAGCAGTTTTTATTTTAATGTTTCAAAGAACTGTGTTTAAATTACTAGCAAAGGAACTCTGCGGGAACTTTAAAATTTTCTCTTGGCAGTTGCTAAAGGTTTTATGTTTTCTAAAAGTTCAGTAATAGTACATTTATTTTTAGAAAAGGTTGCTTTTCAAAAAGTGTTTCCATTTTTATTGTAGTCAGAATGTGCATGTATTTTTAAAATATTATAGCTAAATTGTACCTCATTGTTTTCTCTAAAAAGCTTTACTGCTTTTGCTTCCACTCCACTACTCAGTGATAACAAGCGTAACAATTTTCCGCTAGAATTGCTTGTCACTTTATTCTTGTACTTTAGTTATACCACTGAACATCTTTTTAAATTGTTGCCACAAAGTATCTTGCTTTTATCATTTTCACATTGCTCTAGTATATCAACTTTGGGAACAAGATATCATTCTATTTGTAGCATTCTGTTTTTAGTAGTGATATTTCCATTTACAAAATACAGTAATTCTTGATCGCTGAAAATGTCAAATCCTAGAAAACATAGCAGCCTACGCGTGATGTTAACATCATTCTCGAACAGTGGTTGGTTGAAGATTCATTTGATGAATCCGATTTTTCCGAAATAGATGATTCAGACGATTCTGGTGTTCTGTTTAGAAATAACCCTAAGAACACTTTTAGTAGTTTATTTTCACATTGAAAATCAGATTTGCTCCAGCCTTAAAGAGCATATTTATGTAAAATTAGGTAAGCGATAGAAGGAAGCTGCACTTTTTTTCTAAATGGGAAGGTATTAGAAAAGTCTCATTTTAGTAACATAGTCTTCCTTAAACTCTGTATGCCAATTGTAGATTTCTGAAAACTGAAGACATGGAAGGGAAAGGGTTTGGTATGAACTACAGCTTTGCTGGCAAATAAACCCAACTGAATATACTCAGTTGGGTGTCTACTAATTTGTTACCTAAGATTATCTAAGGTAACCTCTTTTTCTAGTCTTTTATTATGTGAACATTTACCTCCTGCTGAGTTGTTTGCAGAATTTCCATATAATCTTGCTTATGAACATTTCTGCGTTATTTGTATCATCTTTTAGAAGTCTTACCCAGGTTGATATAGGTTACTGTTATGATCTATGTCTCCAATTCTTCTTATGTGGCATTAGGTATTTTAAACTTGTTCTTTTTCAGACATCGTATAGTCAATTCTTGAATGTGTTGAGAGGTGCTATGTCATTGTAAGCTTTATTCTTCTTCTTAGCTTGTTTCAATTTTACCTTGATTTTTTTTTTTTTTTTTTTTTTTTTTTTTGAGACAGAGTCTCGCTGTTGTCACCCACGCTGGAGTGCAGCGGTGTGATCTCGGCTCACTGCAAGCTCTGCCTCCTGGGTTCACGCATTTTCCTGCCTCAGCTTCCTGAGTAGCTGGGACTGCAGGCACCTGCCACCACGCCCGGCTAAATTTTTTTTTTGCATTTTTAGTAGAGACGGGGTTTTACCATGTTAGCCAGGATGGTCTCCATCTCCTGACCTTGTGATCCACCCGCCTTGGCCTCGCAGAGTACTGGGATTACAGGCGTGAGCCACTACGCCTGGCTTTTACCTTGAATTCTTTAAATTCGGCTTGTGACTTTGTACTTCAGGATTCTGAGTGTTCTCTGTCTTCTTCCTACATTGTTTTTCTTATACCTTACAGATTTTTCATTGGCCTTGACTTTTTGTTGTTAACTCATTCTTCTTTGAGTTTATCTTTATTTGTTTCTGCTGAATATTATTTGTTTCAAACTAAAAATAACATTCCACATTTTAATTAATGTGTGGACTCTTAATCTACTTAAAATGTGGGGTGAAGTTCCATGATTCCAGCTAGTTTGGAATAGGTCGTTTAACTGGATGTTAATCCACCTACTTTGTCCCCTAAGTGACATGTGGGTCCCATTCTGCTGACATATTTGTGGGTCCTGGTAACAACAATTTGGGTAGATTTGCTGATTCCTCTTTTCTCCTTAGTGGAAGAGAAAGCCAATACCCACCTCCTCTTGGGCATGTGCTTAGACGCCTGTGCTCGCTACCTTCTGTTCTCCAAGCAGCCATCACAGGCACAAAGGATGTATGAAAAAGCTCTGCAGATTTCTGAAGAAATACAAGGAGAAAGACACCCACAGGTAAGGGAGGAAAACACAGAAGAGGGAATATAAAACAAAGGTTTCAAAATTGAAGGGTGTGAAATGTCACACTCATTGGTAACAGGATCAGCAGATGGTCTTAGATCCTCCTTTCTCCCCAGTCTACTTATTTTCTTACCACCAGCACCCTCACCCCAACTACTTGTTTCAGAAAGGATTTGGGACTAGTTATCAGTTACTAGGTCTGCCCAGAACTTTTTGCGTGATCCATGGTTTGCACAACAGAGCAACCTTTCTACAAGGCAGGACTGGTCAGGCTTCAATGGACACAGCACAGTATTTGAGTGGGGTCTGTAGATACCCCCATTAGAAGCTTATAGGGAACAGTTTAATACACAGATATCCTTGCCTCCCTTACCCCACGGTTAAAATGGCAGGAGGTGAGGGAAGGAACAAAGGACTACATTAAAAACACTTTTAAACCATTGGCATATTATAGAATTTAAGTGTAACGTGTAAAGCTCTGTGTTAGAACACTAAACACATTGAATTGAAATCATCTCTTTGGGTCTCCCCTCCATCCAAATAAGTTCTTAGATGTAAGGAGTGCATTGCTTTGTCTGTGAATGCTCGCTACCCCCAATATAAGACATAACTATTTTAACTGAATGTGTCCCAAGGCTGGGGTACCTGGGCAGGGTGAGTCATATGTTTTGGAAGAAAAGGGGGGTTGAGCTATGAATTATCTCCATGAAAGGGATTTATGACTTATTATGAAGAGTCCCTTAATAGAGTGAGGAATAATAAACAAGCAAGCACAGAATTCAGATCTCCAAGTACTAGGGTTAGGGGGCTTAAAGCATGGCATCAGTGGGGAAGTAGGTATGGAAGTGTACCTGTTACAATAGCCAAATTAAAAAAAACTTACTGGGCATCTTCCTAAAATAGATGGTATGTTTCTTGTTTTTGATGAGCCTCAGGGTTATCAGCAGGAACAACATAATACAGAGGGGTTCTAGAGGCAATCAAACCATACGAGGCTGGCTTCTCAAAGTTGCTCAGCCTTAAATGAGATCATATGTATAGCATCTTGCTGTTGTTTTTCATTTGGTGTTTCTAATTGGGTAATTAGTTGGATTAATATGTACTGTTTCCTAATTTCCAGATTTGTATTTCCCAGAAGGTCGAACTAACATTCTCCACTGTACAATGTGATTACCAAATGCCCACAAATTTGTTAAAGGCTGGTATCCCTCATCTTTTGTGAAATGCTAGGAAAGATGAAATCTTACGTATTCAGAGTTGGATGCACTCCACATTAAAGTTCTGTGCAGGCATGTTTTTAAAGAAACTACTTTTTTCTTTTCCATATAGACCATCGTGCTGATGAGTGACCTGGCTACTACCCTGGATGCACAGGGCCGCTTTGATGAGGCCTATATTTATATGCAAAGGGCATCAGATCTGGCAAGACAGATAAATCATCCTGAGCTACACATGGTACTCAGTAATCTAGCTGCAGTTTTAATGCACAGAGGTAGGTAGCAATGGAAACTTAACTGACTTCCTTTAAGGGAGGGATGTCACTGGATTGATAAATTTGTGAAATGGTATGTAGGGAGGGCAAGGGCCAACAAAGAAACATGTAAATTAAAAGGCTGGTTGAATGGCAGAAAAAGAAGGTATTAATTAGGTTGAAGTACTGTTGTGCTCAATTCACATAACTTCTGCAGACCTGCAGTAGCCTGTCAAACCCCATCAAGCTGGAGAAAACCTTGCAATGATAGTACCTTACGTCAGTAGTGCTTTACGGATTTCTAAATGTGTTCAGTTACAATGTGTTTCTCACAGAGTGCTGGTGAAGCTTGTATGACAGGAAGTATCAGTTTGACAGACATTTCTTAGTATCAGCACACTATACCTATCATTTTCAGAAACCTGGGATGACAGGTGTATTACACATACCACCATTCATGAAATCTTTGGCTCATCAGAGGCCTCAAGATATACTGGAAAGGACTGTAAAGAATCCCCCAGCATTCAGTGGAGTTCCAGCCTGTCAGATGGGGATGAAATGAGGCAGCACCAGCCTGTCACTTCATAAGCACACAGTAAATTAGCCCTATATCCACATTAGTGCTGTCTCTTCAGAATCACCTGGGAAACATACACTTTCTTCTTACTGTCCCTTCTCTCTGGGTTATTTTAGAACGATATACACAAGCAAAAGAGATCTACCAGGAAGCACTGAAGCAAGCAAAGCTGAAAAAAGATGAAATTTCTGTACAACACATCAGGGAAGAGTTGGCTGAGCTGTCAAAGAAAAGTAGACCTTTGACTTAAATTCTGTCAAGCTCTAAATCCATTTTTGTGTAGGGAGAATAATGTCTAGCAATGCGGAAGAATAGCTGTCATTCCTCTCTGTGGCACCCAAATCAATGGCTTAAATCTGTCGTTTTTGATATTCATTCAGGTTTCCTCAATTTAGCCTTAGTGAAGGGGGAGTTGTATACACTGCCATTTTTGTATTTTAAAGGAAAAATGACTTTCATTCCCAACTGATTATGATCTTTCAGGACTGCTGTCAAGTGATGCTTTCAGTTGTAACACGTGACTTGGTGCTGTCCCTGCTGGTCTAAGTAGAACTATAGATTATTATGGGCTGGCGTTCCTGTGGGCTGTGGGTGTGGTGATTCAGCCTGGCATTTCTACTATAAGTTTTTGGTCTCCTGATTTGCTGCCCTCTCTTCTCGTACTTTATCAATATCTGGCAAACTAACCAGAATTACCTTCTTCATGGCAAAGGGGGATTATGGTGAATTGTTCTTCTTATAATCTGTTTCATGAAGCACAGTATGGAATTTAATGCATAAAAAAGGAAAATATCTTAGTTTGCTACCAGCATCCAGTATGAAGTTTTAAAGTGGGGATTAGGCACATGACAGTATAGCACCCATTTGAATTTAAATAAAAGTGAACCATATGTATCTGGTTATATAAAACTAAAAGTGGGGGTGGGCTAGGAAGAATGATGTAACCTTTTGTCTACGTTATCTGAATGCTCTACTTCCTTTGCAGCCTTAGTCACACAACTGAGTCATTTCAAGTACTCTTTAAGGACACACAGCCCAGGCTGTTCTGAGTCAGAATAGACCCCTACAGGTATATTTTAAAACTCTTCATAATTCTGATGTGTACTGCTGCTATAGTTGAACTACTGACCTGGATCTTAGTCCTAGCCTTTTTGCTTTTGCAATTTCAGTATCTTCATCTCTAAACTAGGGAAACACTGGGATTCTTTCTTAGCTGTGGGAGAAGGTATTTGGTTAGATGACTTTGAATGAATAGACTGCTGTGCTGGAAGATCTTTGCCACACTGCCTCAAAGTATGTAAAGATACATAGGTGGATGCGTTTACCGCAGCAGTCGTATGGTACATTTTTAGCCATTTACCTAAGGAAAAAGAGTTTCTCTAGGTACCATGAAGGACCCTGTTGGTATGCCTGTGGGGGTGGCACGTGAGTGGGACTGATAAACTGATATTTTTGGTTCGTATGTACATACTGGAAGAATCTTTTCATAATAAATGAGACTATACAACAAGATTGTATGTATCCCAGTAATCTTTGCATTTCTCACAAAAAAAAAAAAAAAAACTTCCTGAAGAATAAAAACACCGGAAACCTTGAGGTCCAAATCCTCAGGGATTAGACTAAAACTAGAGTTTATGTTGCAGATGTAAATTTCTTCCTATTTTCTCTCTAATCTCATATTTACCATCCAGCTAATGCCATTTATCAAGTCTAGCTCAGAGAGATAAGATACAATATATATCAGACTGAGTTTCAGTAGAAACCAGTATTAACATATGGTGATTTCTTAAAAAAATTAATGTCAACCACTCACCTTTTTGCATTGAGAATGTTTTTACCTTTTCACAACTGCAGGGGTTACTGAAAGGTTTTTCATTCCAAGTTTTATTTGTTTATTAATTTTAAATCATCCACAGTGACTCAGTGGTCTGGTTGTTGGAAACACTACGAATTTTCAGGACAGTCTCTTCACGGGGGTGTTCTCATTACAGTTCATTTGCACTGTTGTAAAATAAGGTACGGAAGCAAAAGGAGGACTGATCTCCTTTACTGATTGTTCTAAATTCAAAAGTGAATTGGTTAAAATCATGTAATTAAATTTTTTGAACTGTCCAGTGGTCACTGGAGTTTTCAGAGCATAGATATTTTTAAAATAGAATTACTCAGTGTACCAAAATTAAAGCATTATGCAATTTCCAATCATAAACATGCACTGGAAAATTGGCTGTCAGAATACTTCTATGAAGAGTATTAGGAAGACCTTAATTTAGTTCTGGGTGCTAAAAAATCACGTGTAAGGATATAGTGTCAGAACAGTGAAATCTAAGTCTACAAAGAGTATCACGCCTTGGTTTGCGGTGAACCTCAGTAAGTTGTCAGTGCTACTCTGTGCTGTGCTTACCACTTAAATCATGATAAGGTGAACCTCCATAGGTAAGCCATGTGAGAATTCTGTCCTTTCATTTATTCTGAACCAAGAACTGTTACTAGATTTTAACTCTCATTCTGAGATTTCTTCTCCAGGTGATGGTAAATAAAGTAATACGCACATTCATTATGATGAGGATGGAGTGAGTGGTTCACAGCAGCTCACCTTCGGGTCCTCAAGTGGAACTGCAAGAGTAACAAGTTAGGCTCTGATCTGACATGTTCTCAGAAACTATACAGTTGACCTTCAAATAATGCAGGAGTTAGGGGCATAGACCTCCTAAGTAGTAAAAAATCCACATCTAACTTTGACTCCTCCAAAACTTAACTACTCATAGCCTACTGTTGACCAGAAGTCTTACGGATAACATAGTCGATTGACACATATTTTGTATATGTATTATATACTGTATTCTTACAATAAAGTAAGCTAGAGAAGAGAAAATGTTAAGATTATAAGGAAGAGAAAATATATTTACTATTCATTAAGTGGAAGTGGATCATCATGAAGGTCTTCATCCTCGTCATCTTCATGTTGAGTAGGCTGAGGATGAGGAGGGGTTGGTCTTGCTATCTTGGGTGGCAGAGGTGGAAGAAAATCCATGTATAAGTGGACCCACACAGTTTAAACCCGTGTTGTTCCAGGGTCAACTGTATTCTGACTCAGAATAGCTTAAGACCCTCAGGGTCATAGAAAAATACCATCATAATCTCTTTTATGGTAGGTTGGCAATATAAATTATTAACAAATTCTAAAATATTACCAGTACCTGGAAAGAAAAATTCAGCAGAAAACTGTGAAGTGGAACATTTAGTCACTGTTTTTCATTCATTTTGAAATTTTTATGTATTTACATATATCTATTGTAAATATACCAACTTTCCAAGTACTAGGAACGCTGACCACTAAGCCTGATCTAAAGTTTGTGTTGGGGACCTCAGGTATACAGAAGTGGAACAGGGACAGGAGTGTGAAAGCTTTGACTGGAGACAAATGTGGGCTTATGGCCTATCTCTGTCACTCATTTAACTGTATGGGCAAAGTACTAAACTGTGTCTTCATCTGTAACATAGGGATTAGACACTAGTGATAGGAGGGTCTTGGTCAGTAGCTAATCACAGAGCTGCTTCCTTAAAAGCCTTGAGTACTTTTGTTTAAAAGTTTAGGTCTACTTGAAAGTCTGTAAAGTACTAATTTTTATCATCTTGAGAGTTCTATTTCTCCCCTTTCCAGTTACCAGTGGCATTCTCCCAAAACTTAGTATCTATATGTTATGGAAAGATAATTAAATGCTATGATAAATTGTATGGAAAAAAACTTTAAAATTCAGCAAGCAATTCTTAATGAAAGATACAACTGGCCCTCTAGTACCATAATTAGTTTAGAATTCAGTCTTTTAAATTATTTGCACCTTGAGAATCTGTGAAATGAAAACATTTAACAGTAAACTCTTATCCCAAGGAAGCAAAGTGAGAGTAAGTGCTGGTCCATAGTGATAGGGAAAAGGACTGTGTTCACCATGAGTTTTTCAGGATACAGCACAAAGCACATCTAAATACTACACAGATCATTATCTTTTAACCCAACCAATCATATATATCAAACTAAGGGAAAAATATGTAAGCTTTTCCTTTGGAACCTGAGACACCAGGAGCCTTAAACCACAAATAATCTACTGTAGCTATGGACAGGGTAGTCAAATTTATTTCAAAACAAAAGCTTTGTTGGGCTGCATCAAATGCAGGAGAAAAGGAATACTTAGGGGCATGGTTAAATTACCAGTGTGCATAACAGTGAGGTATGCCTCAAATAAGCCTTTAAAACTTTATAAACTGAACTAGAACATACCCATGCAGTAATATTTTTTCAGTGCTACTAATGAAAAAAAAAAAAAAACTTAAAGCCTGCACTGGAAATTTACAATATGGCAGAATTTGTTACTTCTACCTTTTGACCCTAACGTACAGATTTTATGACAGGGTCTGTGTTAAAAATCTAAACATTTTCACAAGATTTTAAACATCACTGGAAAGCTGAATTTAGAGGAAACAAAATCAGATAAAAGTACAATGCCCGTGACAGCCAACATTATGTAACTGGGCTGTATGAGGTTGTTTAGAAGGCTAGGGTTAAAAAGATAGACAAAAAGATTTTTAAAAATCACCCCCAAAGTTGATGCGCTGATTTGAACATAAGTACACCAGATACTACAGCAAGGGGATATACACTGCAAAAAGGTCATCTATTTACAGAAGAGTGATTTAAAGACATTATGGTTTTCTTTACAAACAGATGTAAGAACAGGAACTGTCCACTTTTTTAAAAACTCTACATCTCAACCCTCCACTATTATTATAGTCCACTGAATTGCCTGTACCAAAGGCAGTTTTTTGTATGGTTTTTTCCCATTTGACTCTCCAAATGAATTTCCATCATTTCTTCATCATCTGTGGGCTGGCTCTCCTGAAAAGTCTCAGGGAATAAGTCATAGGAGGGCAGGTTTTTGACCTGCTACTAAAAATTAAACCACCAAAAACTAGAGATCCCTCTCCTGCACCCTGTTCCCCTCACTTTGTGCAGTTCAGTCATCACTATCCGACAGGGTCTCGTACTGTGCTGAGAGCAGTGGGGCAGGCTCTCGCTCCCAGATCCTGTTCTGTTGGTGAGGAGCTGCTTGGTTCACAGCAGAGGGAGCACATGCAATCGGTGTTGGTGGAGTACTGCTGAGCATCCGCATAGTCAGAGGGTTATAAGGAAACTGAGTTGAGCCTGACAAAAGAAAAATTAGGTTTTCATTGTCATGAGCATAACTGCTACTTCATCCAATCCAACTTTTGTAGGATGGAGTAGAATAGGATTGTTCTAAAATGGTCATGTGACACCATGAAAGCAAAATGAATACAACACGGAAGGGCCAAAGTCTCACCACTTAAATCCTAGCCAATGATATGTAGCAGTCAGTGTGGATCCAAAAAAGAAGAGTAACATGAGTAGCATATGATTGAGAGCTGTTGAGCCCAGAAGAGAAAGCCCAGGCTAGATTTTTAGTTAAGTCTATAACTATCAGGTGTTTCCATGGAGAATCCAAGTTGAACTATTGAGTATTAAGCTCTAATTGAAACAGAGTCAGGTTATACCAAGAGCTTTCTTAACTCTTCAAGAGAAATGCAAGAGTACAGTTCTCAGACAACAACAGACAAGTACCCAGGAACATCTGCAGACTGAGGGGCAGCAGGATGCATGTCATCTGCTGAATCTCACTGGGCAGATTTTAAAGTATACAAGATTGAGAAATGAAGTAATTAATGAACACTGCTACCCTTCATCAGTTTCTAGATGTTTAATTGTCCCCAGAAAGCCTCCTACAGCTTAAGAAAACGCAAAAACAGGCCAGGTGCAGTGGCTCACGCCTGTAATCCTAGCACTTTGGGAGGCCAAGGCGGGTGGATCACCTGAGGTCGGGAGTTCGAGACTAGCCTGACCAACATGGAGAAACCCCGTCTTACAAAATTAGCCAGGCGTGATGGCGCATGCCTATAATCTCAGCTAGTTGGGAGGGTGAGGCAGGAGAATCGCTTGAACCCAGGAGGTGGAGGTTGCAGTGAGCCAAGATAGCACCATTGCACTCCGGCCTGGGCAACAAGAGTGAAACTCCGTCTCAAAAAAAAAACAAAAACATAGAACATAACCATTTCATCAAATAATAAATCTCATGTATGGTCTAATTAATTCTTCCCTAAGAGAGATTTGAGAAGCCGCAACCACTGGTCTAGGCTGTAAACTTTCAAACTCAAACACAACCACTTTGCATGTCATGTAGCATGAGTTTTATAATGCAAAAGGCTGATATAATTTATATATATCTTAAGGGGAAGGGCACATTTCAGAGTTTTTTCAGTGACATATTTGTATTTAATCCTAAGGAAAAGATGGCTTATAATTCTCTGAGACTCTAAAATTCATAATATCCCAGTTTTATTTTAAAAGTCTGTTGCTTTTTAAAGCTACCATGATCATAGTTATTATATACATTTTTTTAAGTTTACAAATAGGCACAAAATAGGAAATAGTGAGTGTCCTGGAG